GTTAAAAAGCGGCCTCTTACGGACACAACGCCGCCGCCGCCGCCACTGTTATGTTCGTTGTAGGCATGGGCTGTGTTTCCGTCACAAGCTATTTGTGACGTCTCCGGCTCGAGCGGAACACAATGCCCAGGGCGCATCTTGGCTGCCCGTGCGCGGCCGGATTCTCGCTCATGTGTCGAATGCCACAGTTGGTGCTGCTGCTGCTGATGATGATGATGATGGGTCCCGGTGCTGGTCGCGCTGCCGCGTGGCTCTCCGCTTGAATTGCGGCGGAAGGAGACGGCTGGCCTGGCGGCACCGTGCTGCGAGGCGGGTGGCGTGGCGGGCGCTGGAGGATTGTCGTACAACTCGTCGGAAAGACGCATACCCCCCGCCATTGTTGCCTGAGTCAGCGCACGTGAGCGAGATGCATCAATACCAGTACTTAGACCGCAGCCGTCACCAGCAGCGGCGGTGCTGGCGGCGTTGGCAGCGGCAGCGGCTCCTCCAAAACATCCTCCGAAAGCACCTCGCCGTCGTCGGCGGACGCTGCACGCGACGGCTTCCCGATCTCCTAACAGAGGCCGAGCCGAGGCGTAACCCGGTCCCGGCTCCCAACGCTGCGTCCTGAGCTCCACGAGCCCCGTCAAATCGCCCAGCAGTTGCCTTACGTAATGTCCCTCGTGGGTGCGAGCCAGTGACCCACGGGTCGACATGAGCGGCGACACCAGGGCGGCCGCCCGCCAGGCCCTCTGCCGCGCCATGTCCTCGTGCATGTGTTGGGCTGTCGGCAGGTTCATTCGGGCGGTGAGGAGGGCCACCAGCCACTGGGCCTGGAGCTCCAGGACCAGCAGCGGAGTGGAGGCATGGGACTGCCAGCCCACAAAGCCCAGGCCAGGGACGTCGGGGTGTACGATGCCGCGGAAGAGCACCAGCTGATCGGAAAAGTCGCTTGCTGGCGGCGGCGGCGGCGGCGCTCCCCCTTCCCCGGGGATTGGCAGTGGCTGCTGCTGGAGCAGTGCCTGGCGCAGGGAGGGCTCCAGGAAGGGCATGACCCGTGGGTCACGAAAACTGGGCGCCCAAAGCACAATTTGGCGGTTTGCTGCGTCGGTATAAGCGGTGGATGGGGGCCCCCCCCCGCCACCGCCGCCGCCGCTGCCGAGTGATACGACCGCCGCCGCTCGTCCCTTGACGTACGCCCAGAAGCGACGCTTGGTGGGAGCTCGCAGCACTCGCCCCACGGGTCCCGGCGGCGGCAGGGAGGGGTGCGGCTGAAGTGCGGCGTGAAGTGCGCGGCGCCGGGCACCCGCGAGAAGTGAGACGCCGTCAACTTGCTTAGCACATGGCGTGATCAGACAGGCGGCGGCGCTGCCGGAGCCTGGTGAGGTGCTGGTGACGAGCTCAACGCCACGTCCCTGCCGTAGCAGCGCTAGAGCTGATGCGCAATCTATCGCGGCATTGCCTGGGGAGTGGGGCATCGGATGGAACAAGGACGATGGGGGGACGATGGGGGTTAGGTATATGCACAACGGGTTCATCTACAAATCGGAAGTGGAAAGGTAATGCTGAGGGAGCGGCAGCGTTTGCGATGTGCGAAAGAGGCTACAACAATATAAACCAAAGCCAGACAGGTTCACGGGTATTTCCTTCCAATGACATCCCGACTATTTCGGTAAGGACGAAATGTGTATGTGCATGTGCGTGCGCTATGCGTGTGTACTATGTGTGTGTATGTGTGCATGTATGTGTGTCCGTGTGCGTGGCGGCAAGAACAGCAACACGAATGACGGCCCCCACGGCCTCCAAGGTCATGTGACCTGCAGGCTCCCGGCCGGTACTCCGGCGGGCGCTGCATGAACGTGCTGCACGTGTACGGCATCTAAAAGGTATGGAAGGGAGATCCTGCCCTCAAAATCGAGCATTGAGTACGGCAAGTACGGCACGACGTGATCCCTTCCACAAACCCACCATCGCCGAGGACGGTCAGTACGGAGGCGGCCGGCTCAGAAACCATATCGTCCGCGGCTGCTTCGCAGGCGTGCATCACCACAGCGCCAGCACTAGCACTAGCACCGGCACTGGCGCCACCAGGACCCTGCCCGGATAGGGGGGGACCACCATTAAGTTAAGGGCCTTTCCAAGGCGCTGACCAATTTTACTAGTCTTGTATCCCAGGCAGGCAAGGCGGTGGAGGGAGAAGAGTCTACAGCAGCAGTGTCCGCGCACTAAGTACCGTGCCGTGCCATGCTCACGGGTGCGGGTACGTAAAGGGGGGTTTTACAAGGCCTCAAGCGGGCATCTGTTTCAGCCGCACGCATGAAAACGGGGATTTCACCGCCGGACACTAAAACGAGTTGCCGCGGTAGAGGGGGGAGCGGCGGCTGGCTGGCTGGCTGGCTGGCTGGCACGGTGCCGGACTGAGACAGCTGCTCCGCATGCGGCTGCTGCTGTTCCTACCCGTCGCCTACCTCATGTAACCCCGCTCGGGCAGCAAACAGCCGTCCTAGGCACCCGACATGTACCACAACCAGCCCATCCCAAATCTGTCCTGTGGTTTACTCTTTCTTATTCCCGCATGTCGCCTATCCCAGGCATGGCAAATGTTCCTTTGTTTCATCCCCCGTCGCCTTTAAACAAACATTTTAAGGCCCACTGTGATCTTCCTTCTACTTGTTATCCGTGTCTTTGTCAAGTACTCGCGTGTCTAGCGGCTCCTCATAGGTACCTGGAGAATATCGGGGATGAGCTGAGAGCTGGCCCCTTCTGGCAGCTCGTGTCCGGTGCACAGAACCACAAAATCCGCGACCGCCTGGCATCGCTTCCCGAGCGTAAGGTCATGGAAGACGACAATCGAGCGGCCGCTGGTGGGGTCGAAGCTTAGGCGAGTTGCCCGGCAGGAATGACGCACGTGATCCGTAATGTTGTAGTAAGCCGCGTATGCTGCCAGGTATAGTCGCACATCTTGGGCCTGCGTGCACAGGTCCCGATGAAAAGTTGGTATTCAGGATGAAATTTTGTAGAATGAAAGTAATTGTGCTGCAGGGCTTGGGCATGCGTTGGGTGCGTGGTCTGAAAAGCTTTTGTAATCTGTTGTAATCGAAGCGGCGAGTGGTTGGAAACGAATGGCCTAGCGAGGCAGTTGCGAGGCTGCGACTTTCCTCAGGCGCAGCAGTTAATATTGTGCGTATAGGACTTACCGTGGGTTCAAAAGGAAGATTTGCGGTGAAGTTCGCGTCGGAGAATAAAAGCGAGTCCACAGGCCCTGCGGTTGGTTTGCAAAAGAGTAAGAAGCAACGCCCCGGGCCCATCCTTCCGCAAGTTCAAAAATCCAAATGCTTTGCTTTTAAGGCGCAGAATCAAGCATAGCGCGTCCGGCTTGCCTTTGCATGTTTCGTAGCTGTTCTTCATACATGACCAGCCTCCTACCGTCCGACGCTGTTCCAAGACAATTACGTTAAATCCTGCGTTCAGGCATGCCGCAGCGGTTGCAAGACCAGCTGGACCTGCCCCTATAATGAGAACATCGGCCACAGGCTTTAGCGCATGGCTGTCACTCGAAACTGTGTCCGTCATGCTACGCTGGCGAGGACCTCAGGACGTGGCTGGAGCTAGGTCCTCAAAATGACTTTGGTAGAGTACAAGTACTATTGCATTCAAATGCGCGGCATTGGAGCTACCTGTTGCGTTCGCATCGGGAACTTATGTGCGAAATCTTTTGTGGGCTTTACTTGCATTCTTTCTACGAGGGCTATAGGCTTTCCTTAACAAAATTCTTATATATGTAGTAGTCAGAAGTTACTCCATGAAAGTTACCTATATCTGAAGAGGTCAAATGTACTTCACAGTGTCAACCGCTGTCTTCTAGGTCACAAATCACACCAGCGAATCAATGATTGGAAATATGCTGATATACGTTTTTGAGTTCTTTAGCTAGAACTCTGAAGCTTATCTGAACAGAGCGAGGTAGGTGCAACAACGCTGCAATCTGACTAAGGCAGTCGGCCCAAGCTGCCCATTCCCCAACTTCCAGAATGCTCACCACCAAGCTGGATAAATGTTGTCGTGAATCTTAAAACGCCATGCCTCCATGCTTCTTAAGGTCGTGCGCACTGCGCTTCCAGTGTAATCGATAACCAAATTGTTACTAAGCAGCCGAAGAGGACATCAACGCTTCTAAGAGCGTGCAATAATATACGATATCTTGATAGCTCTTTCGTAAGCATTGTGACCTTCCGCTGATGCTCAATCGTACCGTAGTAGGATACGATTGACCTGGAAACATACCCGCCTTAGTACTCACTGCTTGAGCAGCTGTCTCTGTCATTGGTTTACCTCCAAGCTTAATCGGGACAGCCACGCTACCCTACCTGTTGCGCACAAGCTCTTGCCCAGCGGTTTGATAGGGACAGGGAGCTTCACCACCCCGGGTTGGGGTCGCAAAGCGTCCCGTGCTCTACAGCAAAACAACATCCTCCAGATTTGATTGCTCCTGAAGATTCCAACGCCGTGCTGTCCCTGCTACCCTGCCATTGCGAGCTAGTCCCAAAGACCGCGCGCATCAACACCACGGCTTAACACGGTGACAGGCGTGCATCATCAGCTTGACATCGGGCCCCCTACCTACACAAGGGGCCACTTCTGCTTGCTCCGGCGCCAGAACCCCATCATCATCATCTGCGGTCCAAGCCGGAATCGAACCGCGCACCTCATGGCAAATCGTCATGGCATAACCCAACAGCAATCCCCAGTAGTAACCGCGTCATCACCGTCCTCGTCTTTAAAAGCGACGCCCGCCCCGCTTCCCAAGTCTTCATCGTGACTGTCCTCCGTAAAATGACGCTGAGTCGCCCACGCGCTAAGCCTCGCAACCAGGCCCCCCACCACACATAGCTCCTCACAACCAGGGGGCCCCGCGGTAGATGCAAAGCGAAACACGTAACCCGGGCTTACAGTCCCGTCCAGGCCCCTCTGGGTAAGGTCTGTTAAAAGATGCGGTCCACCACTCTGCTAGGTCTACAATTTCAGATGGTTCGGTCCAGAAATCTGCGGTTCGCGAACGCTAGCCAATGTCGGTTGGGCGCCGCCGCGACGGCCGTACCACCTTCACCGCCGGCGGCGCCCGGTGCGGCATACAGTCTTTCCAAGAGGCGGCGACCCGCCTCCTCCCGACATTGCCGCAGGTAGCTGCGAATGGTCTCTGACGGGTCAGTTGGTTGCATCCGGTTGGGGACGTTAGATTCGTTTTAAGTCAGTTCGGGGAGCAACTTGTAAGCATGGGACGACGTGGAGGAGCCGTAGAAGGTGGTGCAACGAGCATGCCCTGTGTGGAATGCGGGGAGACTCTTGAAGGAAGTTTGGTTTTGCGGGCGACAAACTACCACCATGTTTTTGGCCTATTTCCTGACAGCCATACAACAAGTGTTGACATCCGTGGATCGAGTATGCGTGCCCCTCGAGTTGTCTCCAACAGAAAATAGGTCGTTGTGCCATGCTGTGCTGTCCTCGCGTCAGCCGCCCAGCCCAGTGACCTACCCTCTTCCTCCCTGCTTGCCGGGGCCAGCATCAGCGCACCGAGAGGGAAGCCCGCCTGGCCCGGAAGCGGAAACCGGTCATGCGCCGTGGCGAAAAGAAGCGCGCGGGCCTCCTCGCGGCTGGGAGGCGGCTTGCGCTCTGTTAAGCCTGTCAGTTGGATGAGCAGGGGAGGAGGTGTTAGATGTGAGTAGATAGATGTGTGGAGGAAATGAAAAAGATGCGGGCCAGAGGGCTTTTGGGTGAGCAGGGAGAAGAGGGGCTGCGGTAAGGGAGGCATGTCCGAGAATGCGCGGGAGCTAGCGTGTTTTAGGGAGGGCATTGCAAGGGTTTTTAAGAGTCCAATTAAGTTTTCTGCAAATTTTTGGGTGCATCTATCTTATTTCCTACGTCGAAGGCAACTGTTGATGAACAAGATGAGGTAGACCAGAAGCTTGTCACCAGGTCCGCGGATGTCAAAACTCTTGAATAACGAGTTTGGCCTAAAAAGCTCTATTGCTTCGTCAATCGGATCCAAGGTTGTGCCGTCTGCATCGCTCGGTGCTGCGCTCGATACGTTCAGTGGTATAAGAGGACATCCACAACAGAGTCGATACCGGTCACCGCTATCGTTGAAAAGGCTATGGTAAGCCATGCTGGATTTGGGCAGTTGGGAGAGAGGTAACACCGTGCTTACCGCCAAAAGCTCCTTACGTTTGTACGGCATTGACGGAACGAGGGTGCATGCACGTTATTCGCCTTCAGTTTTTTACTTTAACTTGCGTAAGCTGAGTATAGCCCCCTTACCAGGCTTGGGAGCGGCATTCCAAACCACATTAAATTCCGGCCTCATTTCGTGCTTAACACATGCTGATGCCGCTTTTCATTAGTTAACTCAAAGAAATTTAAAGGACCTCAACTGATCAGGTTAACTACGCTTGTACCTTGCTTTCCAAGGGTTATACAGCCGCCAGCGTGCGATCAGCGGCCTGCGTTATCTGTTCAGTGCGGATAAGAGGGGTAAGCTACTAGCTACTTTATAATTTGGTGTCCAATTAAGTTATTGGGCACTCGTAATGGCGTGAGCGCGGTCACCGGTAGGCAGGATCTTAACAACCCGTTGGAGGCTGACGTGCAAAGCTTCAGGGAATACAATGCAATGCTTTCTCCTGAACGTATATATGTATCTTTGAGCCAAGTTTAGATGCCTGGCCTGGGACACCACCCCCAACCTTAGTGACCGAGCCCACAACCCAAGTGCCCTCCCTAGCACTGGGCCTCGACTCCCTTGGTGTGCACATAGCCCAGCAAATCCCTGTCTCCGTAATCCTTAGCTAAGAAACCTCACACGCCTTCTCGCAACTCCTCAGTCACCGGTCGCCATGACACAAACCCCTCAGAAGCACAGTTTCAACCTTTCAATTTAGCGCATCAACGGCAGGTACCCTTGACCTGTAATCCTCATCCCATGTTTTTTCATGCAGAGGTGCCTGTTTCCACCCGAGGCGCCTGAATGCCAGATAACGCAGTTGCCAATGCGGCGGTGGCTGGCGCGGCAGCGGCCGCTGCCGGCGCCGCCGCCGCTCCGGGGCCCGGCCAGCCTGGCCAGCAGCAGCGGCAGCAGCAGGGCGGCCTTGGCAGCATCCTGGGTATGATCGTGCGCATGGGGGTCATGTGGTACTTCATGAACGCCATGAAAGGCAACAAGACGCCACCGCCACAGCAGCAGGGAGCGCAGGGGCAGCAGGGACCCGGCCAGGTGGCGGGCGGCTACGTCTACCCAGCATTCGAGCGCGGGTCACCGGTAGACATGTATATGTTCCTGTCAGAAAGGGAACCCTATCCAGGTAAGAGGAAGGGAACCTTTTGCCCTTCGGGGTGGGAACCTCCTTACCCTACGGAAACCTTCATTCACCTCAGGCGGGAGGACGATTTCTAACACGTCGTGGTAATACCGCCCGTGTTGGTATCCTTACAAATGAAGAAGTGGCTCCTCCCTCATCGGTAGTTCTGATAATTCACCAAAGCGTTTGATGCTGACGGCAGCCTGACATCCCCGTCAACTAGCAAAACAAAACATGTTGTGGAGGTGCGGCAGGGCGAAAGGGCGGATTTCAGCATCCAGGCGATGTGGGTTTGTGGACAAAGGTCAAAAGTTGGGTCACACGGAGGTTCGTGGAGAGGTGGAGGGCACGGCTGGTGATGGGGAAGAGGTTTGTGACCCGTAGACGTGTTCCTGTTGTTGACCCAGATGGGAACCACAGGGGCCCCGCAACAGCTGGCGCTCTTTCCCTCCATCGCAAAGACCTGGTTGGTTACCTTGGTTGTCGCTTCAAGTGCCAGTAGGGCCGCCGGGGGCCTGCCATGAGTTTGTGCTGCTAGGGCAGATGGGGGGCATGCCATTAAGGAGTATCGAAACAGCATCCGGTGATGTCATGAAGGGTGGCGGAGGCGAGCTTGAAGGCAGTGAGCGTCAGCGGGTGGACGGGAGGACAGATTTAAGTGAGTGCATCACTTAGTTGAGCTTCTCCGCCACCTAGCCCTCGCAGTCCCAAAATTAAGACGCCTCTCTACTTTTCGAAAAATGACAAATGCCAATCCTACAATGGCGCAAACAAATATTACCCTTCTACCGTTCAAAAACATTTTCTTACCTTCCGTTCTGCTGCAAATGAATCTCCCGTGACGATCCCAGGCCAAAGAATCGACACGTCGGAGCTCATCTGGTCTGAGACGGACGTTCGACTGGGCGAGAAGACGGAGCAGCGCAAGGACACGTACGTGTACAAGCCGTCTGACGTAGGTTGTACCGCAGTGTACGGTGTGCGGACTGCCCAGGGAAAGGCACGCATATTGCATATGGGACGGCATGACCACGTGGACACAAACTTAGCATTGAGGTCGCTTTGAAAGGGGCTGCTGCTACTGCTGATGGTGTTTCCCTACGTCGTGATGTCTTTTGTCTTACGTCTCGGGCGAGTTTCCCTCTCGCCACATTCTTATGGGAACCCGCTCTCACACTTACCGCGCTCTTGCCATGCGCCCTTGCTCGCCCCTCACGTACACCCATAATCACACGCGCGCGCTCGGCCCTTTTGTCCTGGCGTTTTCCAGGCTGTCAAGAACAACGGTTCCGTGTACATTCAAATGGTGCTGGCCAGGGCGGGCGCGCCCATTCTGTTCAACGAGCTAGGATATGACCCCACAGACCTGGCCTATTATCAGTTCCGTAAGTGTTCTGAGATGCTGCGTTGCGGTTGCGGTTGCGTTCATGGCAAGAACAGGCGTGAAGCTCGGAGCGGCGCTGCTGCTCCGCTCGGGGTGTGGGTTTTCTTGTTGGGGAATGGGGGGTAGGGGACAGATGAGTCGCGAATGGAAGGTGACGTCCGGCAGGCGGGGAAAGCGTACGGATGTGGGGGGGCGGCGGCGGCGGCGGACGCGTGGATGCAGAAAGAAAAATGGGTTGTTGTGTACCACTTTGCCAAGGGGACTTGGAGCGCTTGGTGGCGGGAGGGGGAAGTCATGCCCTGGGCGTGCGGGTGGATGGGTGCAACCGGCATGCTGGCTGTGGTCGGGTCGTTGCGGCGGCGGCGGCGACGGGAAAATGGAGATGTTGTGCTTTTTGAGGTTCCTTCATCCCTTGTGGGGGATCGGCCGCGCATTGGCGAACCATCTTGGTCTTGGTTTACGTCGCCTGGCTTGTGTTCGATGTAGGTGCCAGCTGATAGGATTTCGCGTGCAAGTCTTCTCCCCCTTTCTCACGCGCCGCGTCTATACCCTTCCCCCCATGGCACGCACACACGCATGCACACACACACACACACACATAACACGCTTCCTTTTCCTTTGCAGAGCTGAACACGCACCGACCTCGGCCCCGCAACAGCACCGGAGTGAACCTGCTGTCGGACAACCCCGTGGATGCCCCCAAGGTGGGTTCTGGAGCTCTGTGGCTAGGGCACATGTCCGGATGATGGTTGTGGTGTGGCAGGACACCGGTGTTGTTGTTGTGGTGGTGATGATGATGATGATGATAGTGGGGGTGGAGTGGGGTTGGGCTTAGAGGCAAAGGCTGCCCTAGGGGGTTATGTTAGCACAAGATCGGGCTCAAGTGTGTGGGTCCCGTGGTGCTGGGGCTGGGGCTACAAAAAGGGGCTTGACGCGTTTGCACATGCAACATCCTAGGACGGGACATAATAATATCCAGTTGATGCCAAAATGATTGGCATCCGTCAAATGTTTAATGTGTGTGCGCTTCGTTTCCTCGCACTACCACGTCTCTTGCTACCAGGTGGAGAAGGATGTCCCCCGAGAAATCATTAACTTCTTACGGCCTAACATCACACTGCAGCTGGTCGACCATTACCAGGCGTACGACAAAAGGTAAGGTGGGGTAATGTCGGGGGGAAGAGGGGGAAAAGAAAGGGGAAGGGAAACGAGGATTGTCGGTATGTATGTGTGGGGGGGGGGCTGCAGAAGTAGTAATAATCGGAATTAGGTTCCTGTGCTAACTTATGCTAATGCAAATGTCAGAGAAATGAAGTGCAAACCGAAGGCACAATTGTTTTCTGGGATGGTGCTTTCAACGACCGCAGCAGCTTCTTCTTTGCGTCTCGCATCCTATGATTTCCTTTTTCCCTCCCCGTCCTCCTCCTCTCCCGGCGGACAGTCGCATTCCACAGCAGCTGGAAGGTCATCTGCGCCTTAACGCCGCCGGCAACTACGTGCCCATCGTTTTCTTCAACGACTTTTGGCTGCTGCGTGACAAGCTGGTGCCGGTAAGCTGCCGGTGCGTGCGTATATCCTTAATGTCGCCTCTCCCGCTTCCGTGGTGCTTGCGGATATAGGGATGGGGAGAGAGGTTGGCAGCGCGGTGAGGGGAGGCGAGGCGCGGATAGGGAAAGTGTGCTTGGATAGTGGGGGGAAGAGGGTTTGGGGATTTCCACGGCGAGGGGAGGAAGAAAGGATGTCTATCCGCCTGGTGGGCACCATCGGTGTGCGTGTGCATGTATGTATGTATGTGCCGACCCCGGTTTCGCTCAAGCTGGCGTTGACGTGTTTTGATCGCTGATCGGCCAGCTGATGTGTGTCTATGAAATGAGCATCAGACGAAATGTCAGCTGATGTGTGATATTCGTGGTGACTATATGTGTCCCTTTTTTCGGGTTTCTTGTGTTCTTTCCAGTGTTCCAAACTGTGCTTACTTACCTCCCCTGTAGTAGTATCAAAAAAGAACCTTCTGCTGTCGTTACTCTTAGTCATGTATACGCTTTTTCTCTCTCTCTCCCCGGTTTCCTAATCCGAAGGTCAATGAGACGCTCGACAATGTGACCCTCCATTTGGAGCTCAGCTACGTGTCCATGACCTGGTGGCAGCTGCTGCTGCAGGTGCGCTGTGACGACGAAGATGGGGAGAAGAGGGGACCGGTAGGGGAGAGGACACGGGAGGGTAGGTGGATGTGCAGGAAGGGAAGCGAGGACGATGCGTCCAAGCTGCGCGGCCCGCTCCTTGAGGGCTTGGCTGCTGTTGAAGACCTTGGGGTTCGAGTCGGCAACTTGCACTTTTAGCTTATTACGTTTTTTTTTACGTCTTCCTGCGTATGTCTATCATCGTAGCCGCTACCCTACTACCGAATTGCGTTTATCTCTCTTTTCCATCCTACCTATCTAATTACGTTTTCATTTCATCTCCCAAACCCTCCGCACGCCCATAGATGGACCAGTCATTCGGCATGCAGGTCCGTATGGGTTTAGCTCAGGACGGCGAGAGCGATGAGATGAAGCGGATCTTCCTGGAGGGCAACCCCATCCTGCTGGTGCGGGGCGGGCCAGGCAGGGGACAAAGGCTCAGGGAGAGGCGGAAAGGGTGGTGGCTGTCAGGCCATTAGCTATGGCGCCAGGGGCAGACGCAGCAGGATGAGGGGCGGGGCGTCGCGGGCAGGGCAGGGCAGGGGCCCGGACCTATGGCCTGATTTGGGACATGGCACTGGCTCCTTGGGACCGGGGCAGGTGGTTGGGAGGGATAACCGGCGGGCGGGGTGGGAAAGGACGTGAATGATACACACGAGGCGGTGAGATGTGGCGGCCGAGGACGGACACTCTCGTTATGCTGTTGGGGAGCACTTGCTGGCGGAGGGGGCCCGGAGGCGGTGGCCGGCTACCTGCCTGCGTGCCTTCCTACTTGCCTGTCTGCCTCTTACCAGTACCTCTACCACCGACAGGAACTTTTCTGCGTCCAGCGCCCCGCATTGCATGCCGCCGTGCGTGCGTGCGTCGTCGTGAAGAGGTCTTGACGCCGGTGTGACGCTCCGTCTATACTGATTTCTCCGTATGTACAAATTCCGAATGCCCTTGCCCTCGCGTTGGACTCCGCAGGGCCTCACGTTTGTAGTGTCGCTGTTGCACACCGTGTTTGATCTGCTGGCTTTCAAGAACGATATCGGCTTCTGGAAGAACAACAAGTCCATGGAGGGACTGTCGGCGCGGACCGTGCTGATCAATGCCTTCTGCCAGGTACGGCTCAGGCTTAGTTGTTTGTTGGTGCTGTAAACGACTGCTTGTTGGCTCTCGTCGTGTCAACCTTTCCGAAGGCTGAAGAGAATGGGTAGAGGGGCGGGTGGTGAAGGGAGGGAAAGGCTTTACTATAAGGACTAAAGCCGCTGTATAGGCGGGCGGCTTTTAGCCTTTTGAGAGTAAAGCCAAGCTAGGGGCAGAATAGGCGCAGGACTCCAGCTCGAACCCCAGCTAGAGCAAGAAAATTGAACGAGGAGAGTGCCCCAGCTAAGGAAGGGCAACGGAAATTGAAACTAGAACTGTTCAACGGGAACATCTCGCCATATTCATTCGCCTCCATCTCACCGTTTTACGAGCCCTTGTGCCTCCACCGTGATGTGGATGTACACACAGGTGGTCATCTTGTTGTACCTGTTTGATAACGATACGTCGTTTGTGGTGCTGCTATCCTCGGTTCTGGGTACCGGCATCGAGCTGTGGAAAGTGACTAAGGCCTTTGACGTCAGCTTCAACCGACAGCGCTTCCCGTATATCATCTTGAAGGACAGGTGCGTTGCTGCCGTTGATGGCTGCTAGTGTTGCCTGCTAGTGTTGATGGCCTATAGCCTTCCTAAGCCGCGGGCCGCGGGTGTTAGGGCTAGGCTGAGGGCCAGGGTTTGGGGGCCCCTGGCGAGGATGACAGGGCGTATAGCCTCAGGCTTAGGCCCCGTCCTGGTACTGGCAGGTGCGCGGAGGAGGGGGCGAGGGAAACGGACATGCGTGACTGCTCGGCGCGTGTTTGGGTGCGCGCGTGTGGGCTTGGGACCGCTCCAGGTGTTGAGAGAAGATGGGCAAAAGCACGTGGTGATGTGATGGTCCGACCCCCTGGTCCTGGTTTGACTCCGACCGCTATCAAGGTAATAGATATTTTAGCGTTTGCTTGGCAGCAGGCAACGTTTGGCGGTTTTCTCAACCTTCTGGTTGCCAACGACCTGTTGTCCCCTCGCGTGCTTGCCTGCCCTTGCCCGTTCACCAGAGCAACGTACAGCAACAAGCAGACCAAGCAGTACGACGCCGAAGCTATGCGGTACTTGTCGTACGCGTTGTACCCGCTGGTGATCGGTTACTCGATTTATTCTCTCATGTACAAAACACACAAGAGCTGGTACAGCTGGGTGTTGTCCAGTCTGGTGGGCGCGGTCTACATGTTTGGGTTCATCCTCATGTGCCCACAGGTATGACTTCCGTACCATGTACGATATGCACAGTACCGTACCGCATGGCCACATGCGTTAGGACGCTCTGCTCTGCAATGCCGCGAGCGTGGGTGAGGACGAGGTTATAGGAAATAACTTGTATGTAACTCCTTACGTGTTTAGAGCGTGAAAGGCCTGCAAAGGTTTCTATCATAATTAGCAGCATCTTAGGGTTTCTGCTTAGCAAGAAGGGCCCCGGCGTGTCTCCGTGTTTGTTAGGGCATGTAAGACGATTACAGGGGCAGTTCTCAAAGAAGTTTCATGGGTGAAATGAGACCTAGGCGGATGATGGCGCCGACAGATGGACCGGATTTTCGAAGTCGCCTTCAATTTTCCCATGCCGTCCACTTCTGGACTTGTGGCATTTCAAGTGGCACTAACACTCTTGATGGATTCTCGCCGGTCGCTTCCCTTTCGGTCGCCTGGTTTCTTCTGTTCCCGCTCTTTTCCGCGCGCGCAGCTGTACCTGAACTACAAGCTCAAGTCGGTAGCTCACCTGCCCTGGCGCCAGCTGACGTACAAGTTTCTTAACACCATCATCGACGACCTGTTTGCCTTCGTCATCAAGATGCCGCTGCTGCACAGGTGGGACGCCGGGCAGTACGGGGCAGAGGACAAGTAGTACGTCACAGTAGGCCACAGTCCCAGCAAGTAATGCTGCGTGCCGAAGCCCCGTAATCGTATTCGGCCTTAATAAGTATTCCCCGTAATCGTATTAGGCCTTCCCTGCTCTGCCTTGCCGCACTTTACAAAGCGACATACTGTGTTTCGTACAGGTTATCGGTATTCCGTGACGACGTGGTGTTCCTCGTCTATCTGTACCAGCGCTGGGTTTACCGGGTCGACAAGACACGTGCCAACGAATTCGGGTGGGTACCCGTTAGTTCGTCTGTCTGCATGTACCGTTCGTCCTGCCCCGCTTTCCCTCCCCCTTTTGCGTGATCCTGCTTGGGATATTAAGAGGCCAACATTCGGCAACGTTTTGGGCGGGACGTGTCTTCAATGACACAAGTTTGAGAGAATGAGAGGGGATGCGATTGTTGGGGTTTTGTATATCAACGCGTGTTACTGCACGTGGTAATCATTTCCAAGCGTTCACTCGATCAGACGTATTGCTGCGCCTGAAAGGCGAGGCTTGGGAGTAATATATGTATAGCATTGGGGCACCGGTTGGTCGCGGTCGCGGAGGAAATGACAGCGGAGACCTTACACAGATGCTGAGGTCGTTGCCGAGCGGAACGCCATAGTATATTGAGGCGCGTCCCAATGGAATCATAGAAATTTGCCGAAGTAATGACATCGGCTTGTTGTCTGCCCTTGGTGACCTTACCAGATGTCCTTTCGAATACGGTACGAACTAACTAACGAGCCAACCAACCCCGATTTCATATGTGTGCATATTTTTTGTCTGGTCCTGCAGCTGGTCGGAGGAGCAGCCGGCTGCCGAGGCGGAGGCAGAGGCGGAACGTAGTGATGCGCCAGCTCTCCCAGCGCCCGCCAGTGCCGATGCCGACGCTGCTGTTGGGAGTAGCGGCGCCGCGGCCTCCGCCGGTGCCGATGCCGACAAGGCAGGCAAGGGCGAGGGGTCGCGCAAGCGCAAGGGCGGGAAGGAGGCGGGGAAGAAGCAGGAAGTCTCAAGTGACAAGGACAAGGAGGGCGCGGACAGCGATGACAAAAAGGCGCGCTGATCGGGCTTTGGAGGGGGGTTTCCGGGAGTGATGTATGGGCAGGCGCGTGCGTGTTGAACGTACAACGTGTTTTCTTAATGTGTTTGAGACTGGGCCAACGCCCCGTCCGTATGGGGGATGAGGGATGGGGACACGTCTTTTGCCGGATTTATATCACTTTAAGGAAACTGCTGTTCACGCTAAGGCCGGCCCGCGGGACAAGGCGCCCCTCGGGCCCTGGCTTGGCTTGCCAGGCTGAGACGTCGTGCATGGGAGAAGGCATGAGAGTGCATATATGCGTGTGCACTACAACGCAACGTCCAGGTATCTTCACCACCGCCATGTCTGCCTTGGTATCGTGTATGTGGAGCGGTGAGATATAATCAACGGGTATGGCCCGTTTAGAAATCATGGGTTGCCTTGGAGCTCGTGCCAAAGCAGCCTCGTCGACACATATGTTGCAGGGCTGTCGAATGCCCTTAGTGAAGAATTACCTGTCCATTCGTCCTTGTGTTCGATCGAGGTGGCCACGTCGCATCCTACGTGTGCCGAACTACTTACGATGCATGTATGCGTCAGGAAAAGAGGTGGTGGTGGGGATTTAGGTTGGGAGGCCGCGCGCGAGCCGTCAACGGTGGGTCCCAGGGCCTTCTCCCCAGTATGTGGGCCAGTTTGTGATGCTGCCCGCTCTCGGCTGGCTGCACGGCCGATGCGGCCCTACTGTGTTCGCACGGGATACAATGTGCGAGATATGGTCTGCAAGGCTAGAGACGCTAAGTAGCCGGGAAGTAGGCCGAACTATACTCGTTTTTTACAGCGGCGATGTCTAGTCAACGTGACACGAAAATGCGGCAAGCCCAGTGCCCCAGTCTAGCTGGTGTGGTACTATTACTCTAGTGGGCGAGACGTCAGAAGTAAGGTTTAAAAACTTAAGGTTAGGATAGACGCAAGAAAGCTGAACCAGAGCGTTCATAAAACGTGCAGAGCGTGTAATGTGCCTTCTTCGACTGGTACACCTAGTCAGTCGTGAAATGCATGGACGGCGGGAAACCTGCATGAGTGGAACGAAGGTTGTGTCCCTTCAAGGTCCGGTTCCGCTTTGTTGGGTGTAAGAGCTGGATGTAGAGCGTATATACATGGAGCTAATTGCGCCCGTTGTGCGTTTTGCTTCACTCGAACCACGTATTGCATGGATGGATGGTTATGAATGGCATGGAGCTTGGAAGGGGGGTTAAGTACATCAGGACAGGCGGACCAGGGCCATAACAGGTCCCTCGGAGCGCAGGAGAAAGGAAGGTGCTACAGCTGCTCATTTTATGTGGAAGCCCGTTAAATGTGATAATTGCTGGACGACCGCGCAGCGCAGCGGCCATTCGCGGAGATCTTGCCCGGGGGCCGTGCCAAATACTCCGGCATCATCAATCTGTCAGTGAGCATCCGAAGGTGCCCCCGATATCTGCTAGTAGAGACCTTACAACATAGTGCCTGTTGGCTTAAGTAAACAAACAAGTTCTGCGTTAAAAAGTAGAAGCGCCCTCGCTGCGAAGTTCGAGCTACACAGCTACGTGTCCCTTTAATGCGGTTTCCGTGTAAGGCAGATGCACATACACCCATGGCTATATGTGTCAAGAGAAGTTACAAGAGCTGCACAACTTTTGATCGCAGTATTGAATTCTCATACGAGCAATACGTCATCTCTAGGCCACTGCTGGTAGTGTCGGACGAGGTTCTCCGTGTGTGCATGATCCATTTCAGCGTACCCTGCAGAGGTTACTAATCATTCATGCATAACGTGCATAAGGCGACGACCCCATGTGCTCTTCCGTCCAGTCCCACTTGGGCATCTCTGCGGAGATCACAAGTCCCTAAACCTTCCCCCGGCGGCATAGTTGACCAGCATGCAGTAAATTGTATGAAGAGCAGTGCGGATGTGGAACTGGCAGTACACCGGCACCTACAATGACAGCGGAACCGGAAATTGGATTAGCAACACGGGCGTTAGAGGCGAGCGTGATTTCGATGCCGTTAGGGAGAGTATTGGCAGTAGATGCATACTGGTAAGGGAAATCAGATCAAATGCATGACACATAGGCGCCGTCTGCCGTACCTACGCTTGAATCGTTTCCACAGCTTGGTTTGCAATGTTTATACAATCACATGGAACGAAATCTTTGCGTTGCAAACAAGACTTCCTTTTCCTCATGAAGGTCTTTACCAGCGTGATATCCAAATGATAAGGAGCTCGGTGACTCGCTTTCGAATTCAGCTTCCGTACCAATTACACATGAGGGGCATTAGTCTACCACCGAAGCCGACTGAGCCGGGGCCTGAGGAATGTTGCCAGGTGTGTTTGCTGCGCATGATTTTAGGGCTTCCCAGGAAAACGCAACGAAATATCCTGGTTACGTGTCCTACCCGAGACAGAGTGGCTGTAACACTTGCGTCTGGGAGCTGTACGCGGAGGAGCTTGCAAATTGGAAAGCTCGGGTTGCAGAGATGGTACGTACGTGACAGCTAAGTCCAGCGGGGGTGTGAGCACTCTCAGCCCTTCACAGCACTTGTGTCCTGTTAACTAAAACGGTGAAATCACACAGGAAAATGTTGGGGACAGCAAGAACGGTCAAGCAGGGGGCGCCTCTCCTGATGTCTCATCCCCTGCGTCTGTGGGACTCGTAGCTTTTCAGGAGCTTGAGCAACAGCTGAGTGCTCAGCGGTCCGCATCAGGCTCTCGGGAGACCGGCCCGGACGGGGGCTGACGACCCGGTGGCCCTTGGATTGGCGCTTGACGTCGCGCACAGTACACTACGCGCCGCGGCTTCCCACGTTGCTGGCGCCCAGACGTACAGCAACGGCTGGTTATCAAAGGTGAGGTACCACAATGTAACGGAATGACTTTCTTCATGGTGTAGGCAGCTGCCAAGGACAGTACAGATGACACCGGAGGCGATAGTGCGTTTCCATTATCCGCCAAGTAAATTCAACTGGATGGTGACCCAAATCGCGCAACTCCAGATGTAAAAAGCTGCAGACTGTTTCCCAGTCGCTATCCCGAAGGCATTTCTGCTATTGCGGCCACTGCTTCTACTACCACTGCTACGACTGCTACGCCCCCTACTGCTACGCCCCCGGCGCAATCACATTGCTACTGCTGTTGCTGCTGCTATATCCTCCGACTTAAATTGGTTCGTAGCATGTCGTGCGAGTGCGTTGTTAGTGTGTGTTAACGAGCGTGCGCCTTGTTAACCCTGCCGACACGTGGACCCACTGGCCCGTGTTGCACTGGAGCTCATGGTTGTCATTCCAGGCTGGACCCAAGAGGTGAAGAATCCATCTCGCCTTAACGAAGGCAATGGGCCGTCTCTTTGGTGGGATGGGACCCGACCCAACTTGGGACCTCGCACCCGCCCTTTCGTCACCGCACATTGCCCCCCGCAGGTCGCCGCCATACATCCGGCTTTCGGCTCCTTGGTCATCTCGCCCCGTCTCGTCTTGTCTCGCTGGCCATCATGCTGGCCATCATTTGTTGCGTGTGGGCTCTTCCCTCTCTCCAACTGCACCCAGGACAGCAAGCGAGAACATAATCGAGGCTGCCAACGCGCACCTCCAAGCAACGGCGCTCTCCCCTTAACGGCCCTCTCCTCCACCCCCCCCCTTACACACACGTACACGTACATACACGCCGCCTTCTACCGGCGTTAGTTGAGGACTGAGGGCTCCGAATATATGCGGTCCACGTGTATGTATGTATGATGTATGTCCACAGTATGTCCCAAGCAGCCGCAGCTGTTTAGTCTTCCTGCCCTCTTCAGTGGCCAGTAGAGAGGCACGGTGCTTTCCTCGGAACCCGCCAGGGGACCCACCGGGGCAGGGGATGAGCTCCGGTGCTGATGCTGATGCTGCAGCTGCTTCCCACGCGCCTCTGAACGGTCTGGGATGGTGGTAGTCGCCGTCACCTCGCTGCGTCTGTACTGAACCCGTGCTGCTCGTACTGGTCGATATTGAAGAGCTGCGACCGCTGCAGGTGCTGCAGCTGTTGTACAACTTAACGATCCGAGCCGAGCCACACGAGGACATGATGAGGATGTGGTACATGAGTCATCATTTTATTTTTATCGTAGCTGTTGTAGCGATTTTTGCAGACGGACGAAGTTGTAGACGTTGCTGAAGTTTGTGTATGGAGTTTATGTTGATAGGGAGGGTGGTGCTAGAGATAGTGGAAGATAAGCAACGATGTACATGTAAATGCATATGGACGACCCGGTGGTGGGTCGGCTAGAACTTGCATCGTGTGTGTATATTTAGTGGTGAAGAGGAGCACAGCTATCCCAGAAAGCCGTTTCCTTCGTGCCTGTTATTTCACACGTAAGAAAGGTCAGATAGGGTCGGATATGTAAGAGATATATTATTGCTGCCATACACCGCAGCTGCTCTATGTCTTTCGAGCATCCTGTCGCACTCTGAAGCAGGAGGCAGAGTACCGATTACTGTTCGGACAGCATCGCGAAGACCCATGGGTCAGTTCAGTGAGGGTTGTTTTACAAGCGACATTTCAGCGGGCGTAAGCTATCCTACAGAAACTCCATCCACTGAAGCACTGCCACTCGTAAATTATTCACAGTTTCGTGTTAGGCATGGCAATTCCATATTTTGCAAGATCGTCTTAGCAAAAACCGTCTGACCTACAGGCGCCATCACCACCGCCATCCACGTCAACGCTTTCATACAGCCATTACAGTCGCATGACGTTGTGGCCACTGCCGTTTGCCGAACGACAGCTGACGTGCTGTATGTACAACACATACACGTTCCGGTTTCAACCCCCGATCTCCCCAACACCCGAGGGCGCCCAGCAGCAATACAGCATCAACGCAGACCGTCTAACGACTGCTATTATAGGTACAACTACATGCCGTACAATCAAAAAGAAAGAAAAGTACTAGAGGCGAGAGACAACGACAACACTTCCCATACGAAAATTTTCCATAAACGCAAACAGCTCTCGAGCATTTTCCAATCGTTCCCTTGTAATGCGTGCGATTATGAAACAAAACATTTTCATTCTTGGATAACTGTTAAGAGATATTCTCATTCGTTAATGCCCAACAAAACTTCCACAACCAATCCGTTCCAATTACACATCCCTCCCTCTCCGACCGGGCTCGACCCGAACAGCAGGTACTGGTGTTGGAAGGCTCCCGCGTCTCTCTGCATCAGACGGCTTTCCCGCAGAGCTCATGAGACTCATAAAATCAACATTTTTAGCATAAGGCTCGTTAATCAATCGACAATTTTCTGCGTGCTGTTTCCAAAGTCGAATGTGACGTACACTTGCAGTAGAGAGCTGAGTAACCCCGTTGCCGAATTGGTCCTAACCCAAATAACTTTAGCCATGACCATGAAGCCGTACGGGCCGTACTACGTCGATGTACAACACACGTACTCCAGGCCAGGGCGTTGCAGGCCACTGACACACACGCCAGGAGCTCTACCTACCCGGCTCGGGCCGAAGGTCCTTCTCGCGCCTCTGGTCCTCAACGCATGCGCATTCGCATACATACATACAACCCTAAGTTAACCACCCTGTAACAACATACATACATACGTACATACACACACTCGATACCTGCCACAGTCGGAAGAGCTTCGGAAAGCTCACTCAACAGCGGCGGCGGCTGTGGCGGCTGTGGCGGCAGCGGCGGCGGAGGGGAAGGAGTACCGCACTAGCGCGGCTGATGTGTGTATGCGCGCGCGTGTATGTGCTTTCAAGGTCATTTCCCTTTTGTGTCCCCATCCCGCAAACCTCCTTCACCCGTCCCTCTTCCTCCACCGCCAATATTATATGATACCGTTGCTGCTATCGCCACTGCTACTGATACTGCTACTGCCGCTGATACTGCTACTGCCACTGATACTGCTGCCGCCATAGCGTTCCCTTACGATGGGCACGGTCGGGCCCGTCGCTATAGTAACCGACGCTGCTACAGCCGTACTCTCCCGGCCACCACTGCCGCCGCCACCGCCGCCGCCGTCGCTGCCCCTTTCCTCTTCCCCCCGCCCGCCGACCAACTCCTCAAACAGAGAGGTCGAGCAGGTACTGGACTCCAGGGGCGGTACCAGAACCCAGCCGTTGGGATGTACGGCATTGTACGAAAAGGCGGTTGGTGAGCAGCGGCTGGAAGTTGTGGCGAAGGACGCGCCGCGGCTGACGGCTTCTTGGCCGGCTCGGGCGGTGGCTGCGGCTTGAGCTGAGGTCTGAGCGGCTTGGGCGGCGGCAGTGGCGCGCATGCGCTCAAGCTCGCCAAGGATGACCGCGAAATTGGGCCTGGTAGAAAGGCCACCGAGATGCGAGGAGAGGCGGGGGTTGAGTGAATGCGAGCGCGAGAAGGATTAACTTCTCGTAGACGTTACCGTACACACCTGCCGTACACACTAACCCCAGTATCTCCCTCCCCATCATCCGCAAACACAACTTCACCGCAACCATTCGCGATTATTTATTGTGTTGTACTCGGTGCGCAGGCGCAGAGACGTACCTCTTGTTGGGGTCTTGCGCCCAACAGGATTCGATCAGGCGACGTAGGTCGAGAGGAGTATAGGCTGGCAGTGCGGGACGCAGACCACAGATAGCCACCTGCAGTCGGGAAGTGGTGGAGGTGATGGTGCTGGTGATAATAAAGCGTGATGAGTGTGATGATAAGTATGACATGTTGATGGGGGGGGGTAGGGAATGTGTGGACCTGACCAACAGAGGACCCGCCCGGTATTACATCGAGGCGACGGCGGGAAAAGGCGCGGACCAGCCGGCAGGGGGCAGGGGTTGCTCCACCGCTGTCGTACATATGTACTGCATCATGCGCCCATGCGCTATGAAAGTCTTGAACTCTCTACCATGGCAAGCAGAATGGCAATGGCGCTTCTAAACCTAGGTTTATTTTATAATACATTTGGAAACCACCTGGCCATCATCGTTATCATCTAACAACAGACATGGCTAATAACCAATCCCCACACAATACACAACAGATATGCAAAGGCAGAGGCTAGTGGCCGCAGGTGAAGCTACAGCCCCTCCCTACAAATCCCTCCCAACACAAATCATGTGTCCAACGTCCTACGAGGCCCCGGGAGGGGAGGGGGGAAAGGTCTCCGACCTCCGACATCAATCTCATCGTCCGTAACGCCGCCGGACGTTAGCCCTATCGTCTGATACGCTGCAGCGAATGGACAAACAGTCTTAAAAAAAACCTGAAACCCCAAAACTGCCTAAAACCACCTAAAACCAGCTAAAACCAGCTAAGACATCCCCCAGAGAAACGAAACCCACCTGGTGCGGCAGTAGCGCGCGAGGCACCCCCCGATGCGCTCGATCCCCCGTAAACAGTTCGTACAACAGGATGCCAAAGCTGTACACGTCGACGCGCTTGGAGATGTGGCCATGAAGCATCAGTTCTTTTGGATTCAGTCCATGTAGGGGAGGAGGGCGGCATGTACGACACGCGGTACGATTATGGTGCTGTACAGAGGCTTGTACGATAGATTGTCAAGCTGTTTATCTTATATACCGCTGTTTATCTTAAAACACACACACACACACATACACACACGCGCACTGGGTGGCAACACAATCCCCAACAGCAAAACACAGCAGGTTCCCGCCCCCAACCCTCACAAACGAAAACCAAGCAAACAAAAGACACATCCTCACGCATTTTCCCGTACAACCATTCCTCCCTGTCGTACGTCTCCTTATGTTCCCCTTGGGGCCACCTACGAATACGTCTGTGTTCGTGTGTATGTGTGTGTGCGCCACTTCTTTATCGCCAGACGGCGTTTTTCCCTCCTTCTCCCCTCCGCTCCCTTCTTAACAGAAGCAAAGCAAAACCCCCCACTCACCGGGGGCCATGTGGTTTAGAGAGCCCTAAACCCCCTCTCCACACCAGCAACAACAATAGCAGTAGCAGCAGATGTGGCAGTAGCAGTAGTTGTAGTAGTAGTAGCAGCAGTAGCAGTAGTAGCAGACCGGGCAGGCGCGGAGGGGGTGAAGTGCGAAACGACGACAGCTCGCATGGGAAGATGTTTGTGACACGGACGACATGGACACCTAGTAACAACCAAATTCAAAGAGGCGGCAGAGCTTCGCCTCGGGACTTATTTCTCCCCTCGGCGTGCCATCATCAGTGTTATTAGAGCTGTATGCCCCTTGACGGATTCTGTTGTGTGTGCGTATGTATGTATGTATATGTGTGAAGATTGCAAATACCTGACACTGGCCAGGGACTGCTGCCCAGCCCCAACGGAAAGACCGCCTAAGTTATCTCCCCCGGACGGGAGAGGGGCGCTAGAGGGGCCCACAGTGTAATCTAAGTCATACACACATACACATTCACAGGCACACACATACATACATACATACATACATACATACATACATACATACAGGTACATATAAGCGCACCTGGGCGCACTGTGCGGTGATGTGAGTCCGCTCGTCGTCGCCGTCAAACCCTAGGAAGATACTCAACCCGAAATCCGCCACCTGCGCTTTTCAACCGAGACAACCAACCCAAACCAACCCAAACCAACCCAAAACCCCGGGGACGAATGAGCCGCTGGGTTTTGATATGGAGGGGGTGATGGAGGGGAGAAAAAGATGCGAGCGGAGGGCCGCTACACGCTTGTGGGTGCACAAAATAATGCACGCGAAACCAAATCAGCTAAACTGGTGTGACGGGATGTACGATGTGTACGACGTCGTACATGTGCTGACTTGATGTACATCACAGTATGAGTCTCGGTTGGGAGTGCAGGGATGAGGTGTTATGAGTGGACCGGGATATCTTCACAAAACACACTACCGAAGCCGTACACCTCCGAACCGGTGGTTACCCCCCTTCCTCGTTCCTTACTCCCCCCCAAAAAACACACGCTCGCGCACACGCAAACCACTCACCTTCGCGACTAATCCAATCGATGGGGGTACGAAGGCCATGCCCGACGATGACAACGATCTGGCGGCCAGTGTCGACGGCGGGGGCGACGCCGCCGCCGCCGGTGCTGCTGCCGCCGCCGCCGGGGCCCCGGTGCCGCCGCCGCCGACACTCCGAGCGGACGGTGCAGGTGGTGACGGTTGCCGTGATGAAGGCGGCAGCAGATCCCGCTGCTGGCACTGCTGCTGATGTTGCTGCTGCCAGGCCATATGCCCGTACTGTGTTCCCGTGAGCCCCATTCCCAAACCCCCGGGCCCCCCACCCCCACCGCCGCCACCTCCACCCCCGCCACCGCCGTACTGTGAAGTCCCCGACAAGCGCACTCGGTCATCCCCCGCTGCGGCTGTTTTCAGCAGGACCTGGCGGGAGAGGTGGAGAGAGGAAGATGTACGGCAGGGATGGTCATGACGATGATGATGATGATAATTCAGATTCTGCTACAGCTCGTCGTTCGTCTGGCAACCTCAATCGGGAGCTACAGCCTTAGTGAAGAGGTGGTGGCGGAGGAGGCGGAGGAGGAGGAGGGGAAGGAAGGGAAGGAGGGGGAGGCGGGGGACAGGTAAAGGGAAGGGGGGGATGAAGTGATGATGATGACGATAATAATCATGCTATTGACGATGAAGTTGATGCAAAAGTCTAGGAAACAACTACCGGCGTACAAACCACCAACTGCAACTTCAACCGCCGAGTGTGGCCTTTGGGGTTTGGGGGCGTATTGAGAATGAGGGAAGTGTTGTTGGGGGAGAAAGCTGTGGGATAGGGATGAAAGGTGGGCGCAATGCAGGAGCAGATCGTGGAGATGAATCAGTTCTCATGGTGCCGTACTCTGTAAGCAAAAACTTCTTGCCGTACGCTGCCGTACGTGCCATAAGCGCAAAATAATCAACTACTTGAGTACTTACATTTGATGCTTTGACGTCTCCGTGCACGACACCGTGGCTGTGGAGGTGGAGCAGCGCAGACGCCACTTCGCAAGCCACCTGATCGGTTGGTTAGTTGTTGGTTAGTGGTTTGTTAGTTGGTGATTTGGACACTGCAAAAGAAGTTATATATTGGTTAAACGCAACTTCCAAGTGGTTAGATTACCAACGCACAAACCGTCGCCCAAATGAAGCTCAGCTGACCAAGGTATCACAAGAACCCGTCCGAAGCACAACAACCCCCCCTAATGTAATGGGCTACGATGGCTCCCTGTCGTACTCTTACACGTTCTGACATACATACGCCAGCACACGCACACCTGCAACATCAATCCGTAATTGTACGACAACTGCCCTCTGGACCGTTGCTCCCGTACATAGGACGAGCTCCGCTCCGGGCTCAAGCGCTCCCCCGCTGCTGGTGCGGCGGCGGCGGTGGTGGTTGGCGTCGCAGCAGCGGCGCCGCCGCCGCCGCCATTGTACGGCGGAGGCGGCGGAGGCGGAAGCAGCAGCGGCCGAGTGGGTTGCCCTGTAAGGGTTGATAACTCCCCCGCCGGCCTCAACCCCCAGGCACCCCCCTCCTCAATGTTAACCCCCGCCCGCCTGGGGTCAACAAGCGGCGCCTGCGGCGGATGAGCTTCGTCGCGGTCCGCTACTGCCGTAGTGCCGCTACCGCCGTCACCGCCTCCGCCTCCGCCACTGAATCGGTGGAAAACTCCGGCGTCCAACGCCTGGCGCAGCGACCCTCGGTCGCTGCGTACGACAAGTTGGCAAACGGTACGGCAGTGCCAATAACGTAGTGTACGGCATGCTGAAGGAGCAAGGAACCTCCTACCACCAACCTCCTACAGAACCGCATCCGATTCTTCGTTTTGGAAACCAAACTTGCACACACATACACACACATGCACACACACACACACACACATACATACACATGCACACACACACACGCACGCACACACATACACATGCACACACACACACACGCACACACATACACATGCACACACACACACACGCACACACATACACATGCACACACACACACGCACGCACACACATACACATGCACACACACACACGCACACACATACACATGCACACACACACACACGCACGCGTGTGTGATCAAAGTGGTGCATAGTCACAAAGGCACAGGCCAGTCCCGTCAAAACACAGGCACGTCTCCCCGCCCCGTTCCCCACATTCCCCCTCCCCATGCCGTACGCCCCACCACCAGCCGCCCCTTCACCGCAGAGACCCACCAATACTCCAGAACCAACAGCAGCTCATGGCCGTACAATCGCGACTGCTCCGAAACCGCCGGAGAAGCGTCAGGACAGATCTCCGTACTGCCTCCACTCGCTCCAGGGGCGGCTGGGGAACCGCCGTCGTGCTGCTGGTTCGAGCCGCTGCGGTCCACATCGGCGCTGCGGGGGCTCGCCAGGCGTGGGGAGGGTCGTGCGGGCCTTATGCATCGACTGTATGTCCGTCTGTCCGTTTGTGTGTCTGTCTGTCTGTTAAGTATTTCCTTTTCGAGCCTCAGCGGCAGAGTCACATGGCCAGCCTCAGTCCCGGTCGGGCACGGTGTGAAACAAACAAACAAACAAGCGAACATACATAATACATACATACATAATACATACATACATAGCGATCTACCCACGGATATCAGCCGGATTGTGGGCGCCCTGGGACACCTACCACCGCTCCGGGATATCGAGACCAAACCCCTGTCCCCCGGACCTTGGTGCTGGGCAACCGCGTTGTGGGGTAACCCGTTGCTCCCCAATACCGGCGAGGCAGACCCAGACAGCTTGAACCGCCGCCCGGGCCTTGAGGCGCACTTCGTGGGGATCGCTACATGCAGGAAACTGCAAACGGTGGGCGACCTAGTGCGGGTCTGGGATCTAGTGGTGCATACTCGAGTGGCCTCCCTCCCCAGGTGGACCTGGCCCGCATGGGTCAGGACACACCTCGACCCGTCAACCCCAGCACCCACGCGGGACAGGTCAGCGACCCTGGCAGCCCTTAAGACGCTACATGGCGCTATCAACCCGGCCTGGCTCGAAGCTGCAAGAGCAGTGGAAGCCCAACAGCAACAGCAACCCCAGCCGCAGGCACAGCTGCTGCCACAGCCGCAGCCACAGCCGCAGCCACAGCCGCAGCTACAGCCGCAGCCCTCCCAGGAGGCAGCGACAGGCGGCATCACCCGGAAGCAGCTGTGGTTGGTCCAAGCCCCGACCGGCTGCGAGCAGGCCCCCTGGGATGTGATCGCCCTGGCGGCCCTGTCTGCTATGGAGGTAGGCAGGTGCTGCCTGCGAGCAGCCGGAAGACGACTGGAAAGGGCGGCTAACCCCGCGACAGAACAGCCAGAGCAAGCGCAACAGATCCAGGCGCAAGGGCCCCAACAGCGGCGGATAACGGACTTCTTTCACCTGGCCAACGGAGTGAGACCGCACGAGGGGCCGCCGCTGAACGCGCCGGTACTCGAGGATCAAACGCAGGGGCCCATCGCGGGACCGGGGACGGCAACAGCAGCAGCAACAGCAGCAGCAACAGCAACAGCAGCAGCAACCCCCCTGGAATACGCCCGCGCTCGGGCAGTAATGGACTTCTGGGCGCGCTTGCGCTCTTTCACCGCGCTCAATGTCCCAAGGCGGGGCTGGGACGGAGTGGGACCCCACCACCCGATCCTGTCAATCGTCGGGGGAGCACTGCGCTGCGCGGAGGCGGTGGACATCACGACCTAATGGTCAAGCGGACGCGGCGGGAGCTGGAGTTTAGGGGATAAGGGGATAGGGTGTCGAGGCGCGAAGGGGGGATTTGAGGTGGTGGGGGTGGTAGGGAGGTCGAGAGGGAGGTTGAGGGGAAAGGTTGCGAGGGGGGCAGGATCAGGGATGGGGCTTGGGGGGGTGCCGCGCAAGGGGACATGGGGGAGGGAGGGTTTATTTGCCTGGGGGAGCCGTACCGGCGGAGGGGGGGGAGACCGGGGAAAGGGCGGGGAGAGCCGGGGGGGGAGGGGAAGAGGCAGAGAGAGCACCAAGAGGATGTAGGGTTGAGGGGTGGTGAGTGGAAACAGGTGGCCGTAGCGAGGGCGCGGATGAGGGGGAGGTGGGCACCCAGAAGGAGGGGCCGTACTCGAAGGTGCGCGCGTGGTGCAGGACTAGGTTCTTCAGGGTACGAGACCGGGTTTTTCGTGTTGCAGCGTCTAGGTGAGATAGGATCTTGGGAACCAGCCGTCTTGGTAGAGCGGTATTGGGGGGGCGCCGAGCTGGCTACCCTCCCCCCCTGTGGTTTCCGGAGGCTTGATCGCCCTGTGTTGCCGCAGGGTCTTCCCGTTTGAGTACTTTTCTAGTTAGACCCAGTGCTGTGGAAGGGCGCGGACTTGTGCGGTGTTATCCCCCCGACGGGGGCTATCTCCCCTGGACTAGCCCAGGGAGGGAGAGGCGGAGGAGGGTAGTAGTCTCAGGAGGCTGTTTGGCGTCTTGTGGTGTGAGCTCTTTGCGCTCTTTTTATTGCGTGAGGATTTTTGAGCTTGGTGACCTCCCCAGCCCGGGATGACGCGTCGGGCTCCCGGTCGCCCAGGTCCTGGTTGCGAGCTCTCTGAGATGCTCGGTTCGTTCGGTCGGCAGGAAGAGCCCCCCAGTTGCGACTTCGTTTATGTTAGGAGACCAACGGGCATAAATCCCGTCTAGTTGGAGCGCCAAACAAGCGCTGTTGCGTGCCGGCCGTCGTTTCCCGTGCGGCCTGACCCGGGGGCGGAGTGCATGAGACTAACCAGCCGTTTGCACCCCCCCCCGCGCTGTGCTTCGGCCCTGGGCCCCCGGCTTTTCAGCCCACAGTGTAATCAACGTCATACATACATACATACATACATACATACATACATACATACATACATACATACATACATACAAAGCCCACCTCTCGGACGGCGCAATGCTCCATAGCGGTCGGAAGCTGTATGTGTACGTCTGTACGATATTCGGATGCGACATGGACGAGCTTATGGCCGCCTCCATCACCGCCATTTGCCGTCGCCGCTGAGTCTGTGTGTGTGCGTGTGTGTTGGGGGGAGAGAGGTGGAGGCTGGCAGGGGTGAGACGGGGGAAACATGGTGCGTGTGTGTGTGGGTTTTTGAGAGACATGCAAGCTAACCCTGGCGACACCCCGGGAGAGCGGAGGAAACCCCGGGAGCACGTGTGTGTATATGTGTATGTGTGTATGTGTGTGGGGGAGAGAGGGGGAAAAACGGAAAGACGTTTCCCGGAGGTTGGGAAACGCTGTGTGTGTATAGCTACCCTGACCCAAACCGGCAGTATGTCGTACTTAGGGTAAAACACACACACGTGCCTTTAACGACGGCATAGTGGAGCAGACGTACGTACATACATTCGTACATACGTTCGTACATACGTTCGTACATACATACGTACATACCTGCGTGAGGTTCCCCGACAGGACCAGGGCCTTCAGCGCCACCACGGTGCCCTGCCATATACCTGTACGATACAGTAAATTAAGTAGACAGGCGGTACGTACAACATGTCGTACAGGCAATGCAGCCCCGCACATCCGGGTGGCCCCCTTTCCCTCCCCAGAAAATTCCCCTCGGTTTACCTGTACGGCGAAACCCATTTCCGTACGAATACCCATAGGCCGCATGCACCACCACATTACCCCCCTCACCCCCCTCTGCCCCTTTGCTTTCCCTGAGGTTTTACGTCTGTACGTCAGCAGCTGATGTTGTACTTCCTCTTCTTCTTCTTTTTGCTTCGTCATTTCCTCTCCCTCCTCCCCCTTCCCCTTGTCACCCATGATTTCCCCGCCCACTCATTCACCTTTATACACCGTGCCAAAGCTACCCTCCCCCAGGAGCGATAACACCTGGACTCAGACAAGTAGGGCATTTGAGAGATTTGAAATTTGAATTTGGATTTGAATTTGGGCTGGGATTTGGATGCGGGTATGGATTTGGCACAGACGGACAGACGCACCTGTACTTGCAATGGGGCTCCGGGATGTTTCTGTGCTGCCAGCAGCAACGACCGTCGTACAGATTCGACGTCCGAGGGATCCGGGGGCCCTGCGGCGGGGAGCCGGGGTGGGGGGCGGGGGGGCAGCAGGTTGGGGCGGGCGAATGTAGACAGCCGTGTCGCCACCCTAACTTTGCAACTTGGTCGCATTCATCTCCGTACGACACCCTCTCCCTGGACACGCGGAACAGGCTCCACCGCCGCCGCCGAGGCCACATACCCATGTCGTGTTCCACGGCGGCCACGACGTCCCACGTGCCACCTACCTAACTGGCCTCGCCCGACAGGAGCCGCCGCCGCCGCCGCAGCAGCAGCCGCAGCCAGGGCTGCGGCTCCGCCGCCGCTGACGCCACCGGCCGCCGCCGCCGCCACCACCGGCCGCGACGGCGTCTTGCTGCTGGAGGTGGATACCTCGGCACCGCCGCCACCGCCGCCGCATTGGGTGCCGCTGCTCTCCCCCTCCGACAAGGTTGGCTTACTGGCTGTCGTACTGCCACCGCCACCGTCACTGCCGCCGCCGTCGAAACTGCCTCCGCCATCAACGCGACGGGGGGGATTAGCGCCAGCTATTCCAGTATCCTTCCGAGCCGCCTCCGCCGGCGTCACCCTGGCCGTCCTGTCCCGTACATGCAGTACACCCGTCCCGGTCAAGGATCCCATCCCCGCCGCCGCCGTCTCGCATCCCTCGACGCCGGCAGTCGCGCCGCCGCCGCCGCCGCCGCCGCCGCCGCCGCCGCCGCCGCCGGCGCCGCCGCCGCCGGCGGCAAGGCCGCCGCCAGCGCCACATTTACCATCATCGGCGGCCTCCGCCGCCGCTGCCTCTGACGCCGCCGCCGCCGCTGCCACCCACCGCCGCCGCCGGAGTACGTACATCCCGGCGAGTGCTGCAGCGACAAACGCTAATGCGGCGCCACCACCTACAGAGGACGACACAAGCCTGAGGACTGAGCGGCAGGCCGGGGGGGCCGGGGGGGCTACACAGCATTGCGAGGTGTGTACACAGGAGTGTACACACACGAGGCACGTGTGGGTTGCCGTACACTGCTCCACGTCCACCAGGGCCATTAGCGCAAAACAGCTGAATAGCTAATTGTACGGCAAGTACGGCAGCTGTTAAACGATACTTCTCACCGGCCAAACCCGCCGCCAGCCCCACGACCACCCGTTGGGAGGGACTGTTACCGCCGCCGCCGCCGCCGCCGCCGGCATCGCCACGTCCGCCGGCCGCCGCTTGCTGCACGTTGGCATCCACCCCCGCCGCCGTCGTCGAGCCGCCTTTCGGCGGCGGGAGCGGCGGTGGCGCTTCCGCCACCGCGGCTACCGGCGGCCGTACGGCAACGTCCCCAAAGCGCCGTACCAGCTCCTTTTTTGTCCGCCCGGAGCAAGACGCAAGGGACCCGATGCAATAAGTGCGACGCAAACGACGAGCAGTAGCATGAAGCAGCACCAATAGCCGCCTCCGCAGCAGCAGCAGCAGCAGCAAAACCCTAAACCCACCTAAAACCTCGCCCCCTTTTACACCCCCTCTCATGCGCTTCTAGCTCCCCCCCCCACCTACCCAGTAGTCCCCAGAACTCCGCGCCCTCCTCAACTGCCAAACCGCCAACCGCCCAACGCCCCCCTCGTCAAACCCCAGACCTCTCCCCATATCTCCTTCCCCAGGATTAAAACCCTAAAACCCGCACGTTTCCCCCGACTCACTTGCGTGAGGCACTGATCTGCTGTTGCGGTTTCTAGGCAGGAGGCATTCACAGGGAAGTCACATACAATGTGGCTGTCAATGTACGACACGTCGTACCCGCCAGTGTCCCCCAATAAGCCCTCACGTGGCTGCGTGGGGGAAATGTAAAAACACGTGCGTGGGTGGCGGGGGAGGGAGGGGTAAACCACCAACTCAAAAAACACAGCCAACGGCCGCCGTACTGGGCTCTACTGTGTTTCAGTTAGTTGGGCCGTTACGATGAGGATACAAACTGGAGTCCATTTGGTGTCGTACATTATGCCACGACCTACAGTGTACGGCAAACTCACCGGCACATATACGGCTAGGCTCCGTACTTCCATGTACGGCTGCTTGCACATGGCAAGCAATGAGGAAGTGCTCCAACAGAAGGCCGAAGCGTTGCGGAGGAACACCTCCCGAGGCTGTAGGGGGGAGTGTGTGTGGGGAGAGTGTGTGTGTGCGTGGGAGGGGAGGAGGTGAAGTCGGTGTGTGGGTGTGTGGGGGGTTGAAGCGGGGCTCGGGCATATGGGTGGCAGCAAAGTCAAGGAGGGAAAACAGCTGCCGACGGTCAAAGTTCCAAACCCCTGGAGGACTGGGCATAGGGTTAGCGGAGGCGCTGGGGAAGAGGGGGAGGGAGGGAGGGAGGGGTGCCATATTTTGAGATTGGATTATATTAAATTTATTTTTTACTTATTAAATTTATTTTTTAAGTTATTAAATTTATTTTTTAAGTTATTTTATTTATTTTTTACTTGACTCGGGTTGACTTGGGGTTTTAATAATACCTGGACAATTGCGCACGCGAGGACCCGGGCACTCCCCCTCCGCTCGCACCTTCCCCCTCATCGCGCCCTCCTTCCCTTTCCCACATCCCGGTTTGCCGCCGTCTCCTGAGGACAATCTCTCCCCCCCTTCCCCCCCCCCGAAACCCTCCTCTCCCCCCTTGCCCCCCTCTCCTCCACCTGGTCTGCGAGCTCGGGGTCCAGGGGGGGGTCCAGGGACTTAATCTGGGCCAGCGCCAGGGGAAAGGGAAGACACGCCGCGCGCCGCTGTACGCAATCCTCCAGCTGCAATCCTCCCCCGCCGCCGCTGCTGCTACTGCTGCTGCTGCTGCTGCTGTCGTTACTGCTCTTGCCGATGAAATCTTGCGCTTGGCCGACCTGGTTTAACGCCTGGGGTGACGGTGACGGCGGCGGCGGCGGCGGTTGCTGTTGGTTGTTGGTTGTGGCGGCGGTGGGCATGAAATGAAAAAGCACGCGATGGCACACAAGAGGGGCCGGAGAGAGAAGGGCGAAGAGATAATAGGTGTCGTACCTTATAGAGCTCCACTTTTCGTAACGTCAGCCATACACCGGCACCCAGCCGCAGGATGGCGGGAAGGAAGTTGATGTCCAGCCGAGTGTGCGTGCCCCGGGCATACCCGACGATGGTCAGGTTGCGGGTCAACCAAATGCCGCGGGAACCTAGACCGAGCGCCGCCGCCGCCGCCGCTGCATCAGTGTCCGCGTCCGCGTCTGTGGCGGCGGCGGCGGCGGCGGCCGCATCTGCAGCTTGAAGCTTGATATCGCGCACGAGTCGAATCTCTGTGATTGTCGATCCCGCGTACAGCAACTGGAAAAACTCCAGGGAGGTGCCTGCAGTACACCGCAGGACAGATCGTACACGGAACACATCTGAACATGTCACGGCATGTCGTACAGGGAAAATTGGTGATCGGTGCCCCGCGCCCCAGAGGTCCCGCGCAGGGTAGGCGCTCCCGTGCGGAGCCGGACAGGCGGGTATGCAGGTCACGGGGGCGAGGTGAACAGATTACAACAAACAACAAAATAGTGTAATGGAGCAGCCGTAGCAGTAATAGCAACAGCAGCAGCAGCAGCAGTAGCAGCAGATGCTGGGGTTTTATGCGGGGGGCTATACCTTAACCAAGTTATTGCGACTGCCGTACGGAGTATCGTACCTTCAACACACATGCATCACCCGCACCCGGCCTTTCGCATTTCTCTCCCCCCCCAACACACACACACACACATACACACACCGCCCCCCGGATCCCTTCTCTCTCATCCCCCCCTTGCTCGCCGCCGTAAACCCGTGGTTTCCCTCCACCACAACCACCCAACACGTGTCGCCGAAAATGCAACCGCCGTACGACAAAAAACTCCCTCGCCCCCGAAGACTCCTAAACCTGGCTAGTCTCGCTGCCCTCTCATGCAAAATACTTTACCCCCCAACTCGTCCCACAGACATTAGACTGGATAATCCCCTTCGTCGTACATGTGGATGCAGCCGTGCTGCAGTCGGTCCTAAAACCCTAAAACCTTGCGCCCCCGGCCTTCAGCCTCGGATGTACCCACGTACTTGCTGTGCCAACAAAGGAAGGGGGCGGCGGAGGCGGCGGAAGCGGCAGCGCCGGCGGCGGCTGCGACCCGTCCTGCTGCTCCGAAACCAAACTTTGCGGCTGCGACGGCGGTAGCTGTAGCTGCTGCTGGCCATCTTGGAGCAGTAGCCGCCTTGGTGCTGCTTTAGACACACTGTACGGCAACGCAGCTGCGACCTCCGATTCCGCCGCCGCTGCAGCAGCAGTAGCCGCAGACAGGAAGCCGAAGAACAGCAGCAGCAGCAGTAGCAGCGGCCACGGCCACTTGCAGGCAAACCTTCGGGTTGGGTGCCTGCGTGTTTTCCGGCGGCGCTGCTCTTCTGCCTGCTGCTGCTGCCTCTGCTGCTGCTGGAGCAGATCTGTTAGCGCTGCATCAACTAATAGTAGCATTAGCAGCGGTAGTACGGCCGTTTCCAAGCCGTACAGCTGGAAGGCAGCTTCAGAGTAATGACCGGCAGTCGCAGTAGCAGTTGCAGTAGCGCCAAGTGCGTTGAAAGCAGGGTACAGTAGGTCAGCCATGCGAGCTGTCTCCCCATTAGGGCCCGGGTTACAGGGGGCAACAACGCTGGGGACGCTGCTTCCGAGGTTGAAACGAACTCCTATGCTTAGAAGCTCTCTTTGCTCAGATTGCGCCATGTTAATCTCCATTTCATAGCGTAGTCCCAGCTACGATGCGAACGCGACGGGAACTACGAACTCGCGCCAAGCACCGCAAGGGAGAGTTGATAAACGACATTATAAAAGCCTTGATATAGGCGATATCCAGCGTCCTTGTCCAATGCTTTTGACCGTTGCCCCGTGGGCCGTGCCGGCAGGCCGGTTTGGAAGAAGGTATCAACGCCCTTGGGCTGGGCAAAAAAATGCAAGGATAGGAAAAGTGCAAGTTTATAAAAATTTAGGAGCTCTAGCTTGACCCTATCCTGCGAGTTAAGTCAAGCATCGGCTATGAAGGTTTTTCAAGCCGTTCCTCAGCTAACAAGGTAGGATAAGGCACCTGGCAGTGATACTGGCAAGCTGACGATATTCTCACATCCTGGTATGCTTATGGCGCCCTAGGCTCCCACAGAACGAAAGCCTTTGCCTAGAATTAGGTAAACCTAAAACTGGGCATACGACAGCACTCGCATCCACATCACAGTAATCACAGCAGTTAAAGTAGCAGAGATAGATTGGTATCGCCTATATAGCATGACGACGCGCTGAAAGTCTTTAACAAGCGCTCGTAAAGGCACCTTCGGAAGGGTTCGTAGTTAACAAATGGGTGTTTGGCGCTCTTATTGTGAATCCGAATTCATGTATCTGGATTGTTACTCGTGATTCACCCAGATTGTGCACTTTGGCATGCGAAGGCTAAATGACCTGTTGACTGAATATTCGGCTGATGTTCACTGTATGATGCTGCAGAGCTCCTTCCTAAGCCCAGACTGTTTCCTCTAACGAAGCCAGCGATGTGCTTCAAGCTCATAGAGCCGGCGTCTGATATAGCAGCACAATTTCTTATGGGTTGCAGTAAAATTCACAAGAGAAGTTCATCACTGCACACGAGCCCACCCATTTACACTCAATAGAACAGCGCATGAAAGGCGTACCCGATGATTAAATGATTATATAACCGCAGTCAATCCAACGCCGCGTCACCGGACCCGGTCGCACCCGTCTACACGTCAGCTGCACGTTAACCGTATCCGATCAAGTTGGACTAAAGCATCATTTACGCCCGCCCGGCCGTCAGGGCGATGGATTCAGGGCGATGACCTGGATCCACTTCGCCTTGCACTTTTTGATACAGGGGGATGGATGACGTACAACAAAGGTCACACTTGGCAAGAGAACATAAGCCTGCCAACTGATAACATTTCAGTATTCCTTTAATGAATAACAGGAATGAAATGCTGCTGAAACACTCAGTGTTGGAAAACGTAGGTGGCGCCGCAATGCTCACCCTCTGATCCACATAATGCCTTGAGGAATCATAAGACATGATTGGATGGCGTCCCAGTAGCTTAAGTACTCAGTCTATTGCTGGCACAGCAAGCTGACGTATGGATGCGCGGGAAGCCCATGACCCAATCTCTTGCCGTTTCGGACATAGGGACCATATAGGCTTAAATTCAATGAAGAATGTTGGAACAAGCCGTTAATTTGCTTGTTGTAAGCAAGGGTTGAGGCTTTACACAAAGAGGCTTTTACAAGAATGGAGTGGGAGTCATGCACATGGGCGCCCTTGCATGGCATAAGAAATGCGAAACATAGGTTGATAACGTTCGCTGTATGAATGTTGGTAAGATATTGTTCAGTATACCATCCTCGTTTGCTGCTGAACTTTGCTCGTGGGTCCGTTTTCGTGTCCTTGTCATTTTACGTGGTCTGGAGAGAATTTTAGCGATGAAGAGATAGGATCCTTTCCTAGATTTATGATCCTCATGATCGAACTATACGTTTCAGGGCCTGAGTAAATGATTCTGCCATGCGTCGTGAGTTCTGGTAGATATGCATGTCTGGTATTACCGGTGTGCTAACCCACGAACGCAGAATCGGAGTTTCCCACATGCAGCTAGCTTCTGCAATGGGACATGATGAATATTGAATGCAACATGTATTCGCGTCTTATCACGAATGCATAAAAAGACGCACGCGATAAGTCACGTCTGTAAAAGGACGCACGCTACTAGTGAGCGTGCTCATCGCTATCAAAGGATGCCGCACATAGGGAGCCTTCGCTATCCACATCCGCTTCTTTGAAAGCGTGACGCTGGCATTAAGCCTATACGGTCCCTATGTCCGAAACGGCAAGAGATTGGGTCATGGGCTTCCCGCGCATCCACACGTCAGCTTGCTGTGCCAGCAATGGACTGAGTACTTAAGCTACTGGGACGCCATCCAATCATGTCTTATGATTCCTCAAGGCATTATGTGGATCAGAGGGTGAGCATTGCGGCGCCACCTACGTTTTCCAACACTGAGTGTTTCAGCAGCATTTCATTCCTGTTATTCATTAAAGGAATACTGAAATGTTATCAGTTGGCAGGCTTATGTTCTCTTGCCAAGTGTGACCTTTGTTGTACGTCATCCATCGCCCTGTATCAAAAAGTGCAAGGCGAAGTGGATCCAGGTCATCGCCCTGAATCCATCGCCCTGACGGCCGGGCGGGGAATCCCTCGCCCTGACGGCCGGGCGGGTCATTTACGCCTTGATGCCGTCTAAAAGGTCCAATGGACCTTTCCTTACAAGTGTAAATTAATTTGTGCGATGCGCGCAAGTCAGCTGCTCAAAGCTTTTATCGTCTATGCCTTTCTAGAGTAACAGTTCAGAACGATACGGAAGCTTCTGGAGTTGCAAAACCAACCTCAAGTTCAGCTACTGCCTCTCGGCTTGGGCCCGCGGGCTGGGGCGAAAGCGAAAGAAACGCCGTTCCCGCTGCGGCAAAATGCTCCCTAGTCCACGTATGCCTGCAGTGAATTACCTTCCTGAAACAGCTTCGGAAACTTATAATGTCACCAGAGCCGATTGGAGGGAAAATGAAAATAGGTTTGACCCAACCCGGAAGGAAAAAGTAATCCGAAGCGAGCGAATAAGGGAGAGCTCATGGCAGGAGCACAAGCTGTGCGTCTTCACATCACTGCCCTTTTCAGCTAAACCTTTACCTTCCCCAACAGAAGTAGAGTCCGCCGAAAATGCCGGGTGCACGGGCAAAGGTATCACGGGCACCCCGTAGCTGATCTGTGCAGCGAAGCCTGTCTTGTGGGCGCCTGTCTTGACATCGGACATCAGGCATGAAACAGACAACAACGCTGTGTCGCCTAGCCAGGGGCTGGGAGAGCGTCCCGGTTGGCGTGAGTGAGGGAATGAGGCGCGCGCGGAGGAACAGACGAACGTAGAGCCGCGCGCCCATCCCTGCGCTGTGTTTCGGCCCCCGGTCAGGGCCCCCGGTGCTCATCCTATATCGGGCGAGCCGCCCACAGTGTAACACCCCATCAACAACGCTCCAAGGACAGCAACCATTAAACTAACTAAACCACTATAACTTGCCATCAACGGCAATAGCAGCACACAAACATCACATACAACAAACAAAAAACATCCCACTAATCCAACTCGGCGAGGAAGGGCTATCGATGACCACAGCCATTACCAACACCAACACCAACACCACTACCAGCACCGGCGCGGCCCCGAAAGCCCCAAAGCTCCTCGCATTATCGTTTCCACGGAGGAAGAAGAAGAAGAAGAAGAAGAAGCCTCTATGCTTATCGTCACCATCATCATCATTATATCACCATAACACCATGGCCATCATAATCTCGTCATTAACGCCAGCACAGCACAGCACAGCAGAGCACAGCACAACACAGCACAGCACAACACATCACAGCATAGCACAGCACAGCACAGCACAGCACAGCACAGCACAGCACAACATAAAGCACCACCGCGCGTTGTCCTATTTGGCACCTCCCCACAAACCACCCGACCAACTCATTGCGCCGTTATCTTTCCCCCGTCCAAATTGCGACACGACCAGACACACGTCTACCTACAATGTGACGAAATGACGTGGGTCCCACCAACCCCAGCCAACCAGCAAACACATCTCCTCCAGACAACCAATCCGACAGCCGACGTCCGGTTCAGACATGCAGCCATAAGTGATTCGTGCACTGTGCAATTCATCTCCGACTCTTCTCCCACTTTTACAAAGGAACATGCATAATTACCAGCAGAGAGTATGTCAAACCCCCCCCAAAATGTAGGAAAAAGCAGGATAATGTCTAGGATAAAACTGAATATCCCACACAGTTCAGATCGTTCAGTTAGATCAAAGCCACGCCTCTTCCCGCCACCACCTAATGCCATCGCATGTACGCAAGGCAAGCCAGCAAACGCGCTGTGACCGCCTGCCTATCCTTTGCACCAGCTCGGACAACCCCCAAGGAGCCGACCCATGAGGCGTCAGGACAAACCCCCGGCGGCGCGGAACGAGCGCGGGAACCCCTTCCTCCGGCGCCATAATAGCAATGTTTTCAGCTTAAAACTTCCCCTCAGTGAAGAAAGATCTCCCCTGCCTGTTCCTAAGCCAGCTGTGACTGCGGCTGCGGCCGCGGCTGCAATACTCACTACTTTGTTAAAATAATAAACACTTTACCCTCTGAACCCTCCTGAGCTCCGGGGAGGAAACTAACGTGCCGTGAGTCCTTAACCTAAATGTTACTATCCTGGCGGATGAACCTCGAACAGTTAATAATTTTTAAAAAGCACTTTCCAGCCCTCTTATGCCCTCCACCCTCGAGCCTCCGGAAAAAGGAAAAGTCCAGGACCCAGCCCAAAGACGTTGCAGACGTAAAGTCGTTGCAGTCCACACAGGACCGTCGTGCAGGCCGCAGAGGCGCTCTCGGCTGTCGTCCGCCGCACTCATGCACTCACTCCCTTCCCCCNNTCCGGCCCTCTCTCCCCCTCCTTCCCCCCCTCCTCCCCCTCCTTCCCCTCCCCCTCCTCACTCAGTAGGCGGCCCTGGCGGCCTCAAGTACATCCTCCGGGCGGATATCTCCCAGGGGACGAGGCACAACGCGCCACCGCTCCTCCGCCACACCACCACCAGATGCACCCTGGCGCCCATGGGGCCCCTGGAGCCCACCCCTGGAGCCACCTGGCCCCCCCACCTGAACCGCCCCCGGAGGCCCCGTCCCCGGTCCCGTCCCCGGTCGGGAAGCCGTCGACGCCACCAGCCCCACCCTAACAAAGCCCCAACCCATGACCATCGCCGCCCGCTCCTCCTCCTGGCCATCCCCCACTGCGACGTAGGCGGCTGTTGGGCCGAACTGCGCCTTCAGTTGTCTGAAGATCTCGAGCTTGGGTCGTCCGCTGGCGCTGTAGACGTCCTGTTTGGGCCGGGCGGGGCAGGCAACAGGAGGGCGGGGTGATGTGCTGTGGTGTGGTGTGGTGTGGGGGGTTGCATGCGCGGTTCATGACGGCTAAGAGGTTGCCGACGATGGTTAGATTGGTTGGGGTGGGGGAGACGGTGCCAATAAGGTAGAGGATTTGAAGGGCGGGTGAGTGGGGGGAGAGGAAGAGAGAGAGAGAGACAGGGGTCTACCCATCCAGCCCATCACATCACAGCCAGTGTTTTTTTTTAATTAATATATTCCTTAAAAGGAATAAACAGGCCATTTTGGCCTTTGGAAAAAAGGAATGAATTGAGGCCGACCCGTACATTTTCATTCCTCCAGCCAAAAACGTCCATTGCTGCCAGATTGCTCCGTAGTGTGCAGAACTTAGTATTATCGATCATAGACTAGATATGAGGGGCCGTAAGAAGGTCAAGCCCGTGAGTCAACGCGGCATAGCAGAATGTATGACCGGTCCTCACATAGCCAAACACGCAAAAGGCAACGACTTGAACGTCGAACAAACACCAAAACAGCAAGATAAGCCTGAAAAATTTCCTGATAAAGGCCTTTGCTTGGTCGGATTTACTTATTGCTCACAAACAGTGCCAGAACTATCTATGCATGTGCATGAAGAGTGCGCACATGGACGAAAACGCGCCAACTTAGTGCGTGAATCTTGGTCTATGAGGGGAGTCGTAACTTATCGGGGGGGGTCTGGGGGGGTGTAGGCCCCCCCAGCGCCCCACACTTACGGAATAAATTACGGCGACGCTAGCAACTTTGTTATTTAGGTCGGAATAAATTGAGACCCCCCCTAAATGAAAAAAATCACTGATCACAGCACCCATTACACCAACACATGCGCTACCACACAGCGTGGTAAATATCCGACGTGTTCAGGATCCGCCTACGTACCCGAATGTCGAAATGCTCGTCCAGGCCCCACAACACCAATTTGCCCAATGTCGCAACTAAATGCCCAGCGGAGACCAGGACGTGTCGTACTGTACGGAAGGCCAGCTGCTGGACACCTGACCCAGGCGGCGGTGCCGTGGCGGCGGCGGCAGCGACCCCTGCCAATAGCCGCCGCGCTGCCGCCAACCAGTCGCCCGTCAGGCGTTCCGTTTCCGCCAGCGCGGACGCCCGTGTACGACAACCGGCGTCGCCGATGACGCCAGAGAGGCCGGCGGCGCCGCTGCTGTACACCTCGGCGATACGTTCTACATACGCACGATCTACGGCTGATCGTGCATTGCTGCGCCCGGTGCTGCCACCGCCAGCGCCCATCGCCGCCGCTGTAGCCGCGTCACCGCCAGCGGCTTTAGCAGCCCTTGAGGATAACGACCACAGCTCCCGGAAGCAGACTGGATCCATGTCGTCCAACTGTTTAACAACGGTCATAACGGACAACACAATTCGTGCATCGTCAGCAGCGCCGGGGTCCGCAAGGTGGGTTGAACCTTGGCCTCCAGAAGGAACATGTCGTATACGTCATGTGTGTGTATGATGTGTGAAACAAGGGGGTATATCTTCGCCCGTGGCAGCTACCCTGCGAAACCCTGTCTTCCCCGGTATTTCGGGGCACCCTCATCCAGTCACCCTAGTCAACTTCTCAGTGGATCGCTCAGGTTCCGCACCCACCACCAGCATCCAACGGGATCTGCCAGGTCGACAGCGGCCCAACTCCATTCCTGGTCGGCTCGCAGGTTAACTTTATCCCAGGTCACCACCGTCCATCAACTAGGGGCGCAGTACCTTCCACCATCGGAAGGATTTTCGACCCTTACAGGTCTAGATCCCGGAATCTCCCGGGGGCAATGGTCGCGCGTTACCAGTAGTGCCTAACCCTAATGTATGTATGTATATATGTACGTATGTATGTAAGTAAGTAAGTATGTATGTATGCACGTGCGTGCGTGCACACGTAATGTGACTCACGGTGAGCCAGTGCGGGTGTGCGGGTGCAGGCGTTACCGTCATAGCCCCAGTGGGCTAGGCTCACCATCTTAAAATGTAAGTGATCATCGCAGAAATCGAACACCATCTCCGCTAATCGACGGCCCAACTCAGCCGCCTGACCCGCCAGCCCCGAAGCAGGATCATCGCCACTGACTGCGCCGCTGCCGCCGCCGCCAGAGACCGCCGCAGGCGCAACCTTAGCCGCCGCTGCCGCAGCGGCGGTGCCATCTGCGGGACCGCGGCCCGCCGCCGCCGCGGCGGCGCGCGCAAAGGCACCGCTGAGCAGTGAATTGAATATAATCAGCGTCTCATCCAGGTCCCACACCACGATTAGGTCGACGCCCGCCGCCGGCGCCGCCGGCCCCAACGTTGCCTCCGCTATGGCTCCGTCATGTAGACCCCGGACGTCACCCTCCCTCCCCCCGGGTTGGGGGATGGGGCCGTTAGCTGCCGTCGCCTGGCGGCTGCTGGTACCTGCCGCTGGTTCCTGCGCCGCCGGCCCTGTCAATTTGACGGCGGCGGCGGTTGTGGCGGCCACCGGCTCTGCCACTGCTTCTACGTCAACCATGGGGTCGTATAAATCGTTAGCTGATCCGGTCGCTGCGCAAGTGTTGCCTCCCGACGCTGCCACTGCTGCGGCGGGTGAGAATCCCCCTGTGCCTCGCTGCGGATGATCCTCCTGTTGCTTTTGTGCTTTTGTTGTATGTTGTTGTTGTTGCGGCTGCTGCTCTTCCTGCGGATGATGGTAATGAGGATGCCGAGGATGCCTCTTTTCTTGATCCTGCAAATAATGCTGCTCTTGCTGACCATCCTGCTGCTGCTGTTGGTGGTGCTGTTTCGATGCGTAGTGTTGGTGCAGTGCAGTCCCTGCCGACCGTGTGGTCGGGAAAGGAGGTTCCGCCGTAGACGGAGAGGAATCTTCCGGCCGTGCTCCGCTGTACGACGCCCAGCCCTTCCATGTGCCATCACCATTCCCGCCGTCGCTGGTGTTGGCACCGTCTGCAGGCGCCGCCGGGTACTTCAATATGGCGCTGTGGCAGTGGTAGCTTTGCCAGGCATATTGCGACGGATGCATGTACTGGTTCTGCTGGTAGTGTTGCTGGTAGTAATTCGCGTGGGCTTCGTGAGGAGGATGCAGCTGACCGTATCCTGTGTGCTGCCATGCCGGATATTGAGGAGGGTAATCCGGGGCCGGGGCCCCGATGTAGGATTGTGTGTGACCCCATGCGTGCTGGTTTATATGCCCATGTGCGCCGGAGCCAGCGCTTCCAGGGTAGGATGTTGCGTATACCGGTTGAGGCGCGCCATGCCAGGCATCAGCTTGGAACAGTTGTGGCGCGGGCGCCCCGCCACCGTCTCCGGAAGTTAATTGATGTTCGTGGTTTGTGGCTTGGAGGAAAGCTGATGATCCATGTACCGCTGCGCCCCAGTCCAAAGTTGATAGCGGATGGGCCGATGGTGGAGGAACTGGCACCGACTGGTGAAAAGGTGCCGATGCCATAGCTGTATACAGTTAACACTAGAGCGCTTTAGTTTACAGTGGAAAGGATACAAGCTCTTGCTACTGTCTAAAGTCCAGGTAAGAGCGGTAAGACTTGCGTCATAGTCATGCAGCGATGACACATCCAGACTAGTCCAGCACCAGCATAGTACTCTGTAGCCAGCTAAGCATACGAAGTGAAAACGGTCTCATTCTGGTCCGTTAGAAGTCCGTTGGAACCTGCTCCGAAGCCGCAGTGGATATGCATAGCAAATGCAGAACTGTCGTTGTGCTACGCTACCAACGCTAACTTCAATCTGAATCTTATATCTTATAATAAAATATTGTATTACGGTGGCTGGCAAGCTGTGAACATAAAGCATAAGTATTATGGAAAATCAGGATTATTCGTAAGGATTCAATTAACTAAATACAATATAGTTATTAGTATGTCTAAGGTTTAAGGCATTTAGCTGATTAATAAGAAAAAAATTTGAGAACAAAGCAGACTTTTCCACACACATCGCAGATTAATCTTATGATTTGCATGCTGGATTTGAAGTAACCCCAATGGAAAGGCTACGCACCCTTAGCCACGTAGCCTCTCCGTATGCCTCTTCTTTTGAACATCGTTCCGACTTTGTATCAATTGAATCTTGCAAAGCCAAGCCCACCCATTTGTGACGTTTTTTAGTCGATGTTTGCACTCAGAATGGCGAATGGTTCTTCACCTCGCGTGAAAGAACTTTCCTAACCCTCGACATCAACAAAAGTCGAATTGCGAGAGGGTGCTTGTGGGAACGAGTTGCACCTTCCCCACCCACATTCCGAAACCCAAACAACATCCATGACGAGAACAACTCCCTATAGCCTCACATTATCCACAGCTTCCTTCTACCTGCTGTGAGGGCTGCAGCTGTTCTACTCCATTCCAATTTCGCAGCGTGCATTGTCGCTCAGCGTTTCTTTTCAGCCGTCCTGGTCCTCGCCGCGGCGACCGAGCAACCATGACAATTATTCGTGGGCCTGCTTGCTACCTTGCTGCTTTCTGTGCAGTGTGGGATGGCGCCGTGGGTTACTGTGAAGGCGGGTGGTTCGCAAGTCTAAGAATTACTGAACCATAAAGAAATGGTGCTGATGGGTAAGGGGACCGCCGCAGGGGTTCGTCAAGAAGGTTACGGTGTCACCTTCTTGGGAGGCAACAGGGCTCTAGGACAAGGTTTTTGACATTTGAGCCGACAATCCAAAGTAAAGGCCAATAGCGAGTATGGTAACCAATTATTAAATGCCGAAAGCCGATTTCCCGAAGTCCCGGTGCATTATACACGTTGCCAGATAGCTCAACAGTCAAACAGATAACTGTTTCTTTGCTACCTTACAATCGTAACCACCTGCGAGCTGTAGCTGCAGCGCTGAACGTACCACCGGCGACGTGATATTTCTAGGCTTGCCTTTGCATGGTGCTGGCTAGACCACGGAGTATTGCCGTGTGCTTCGCGTGACAGCGGACTGGCATATCGTATGTACAGTACATACGATAACTGGCAATCTGGATTCCGCTACTGGCTAACCTAATTGGCGTTTCTGAACTTAATGAAAGGAAGAAAGAAAGTCACTTATTGTCGCACGATTGCTGCTGTCGATTGCAACATTTTTGTCGGCTCAACCGGCGGTGGAGCGTGCGCTTCGCCTGTTTACAATTTACCAAAACTTCACGCGAAGAACATTGTAGAATTTATATTTCGCTAGGCGCAGACAGTCTCGCGGACTGGTTTTGCGAGCACATCGGTTGGCAAGCGGCGGCAGTGTTTCGGGAATAATTTCGCGTGCTTTGAGACCTGTATCAGCATGGGTAGCGGGCGCGATAAGCGCAAGAAGGCAAAGGAGCGCAAGGACGGCCCGGTTGCGGGCGTAGGTAAGGATGTAGGGCGATGGCAATCGACATCCCTGGCGGCTTGCCCCGCGGGCTGCCAGGGACCATATTGCACACGCGCGCAACAACATGCACTTCCTCCCTGCCAACATACTCACCTCATTACCTTTATAATGTCCGCTCTTACCTTATACCCCCAAGATCCCCCCCCAATACCCCCGCACCCCTTCCTTCCTGCCGCGCGATACCACGACGCAATGCCACTCGTTATCCATACCTTTCCCAACGACCCACAATTTGTTATGAATAAAACCTAAAGGACATGTCTATCACCAGGTAATGGCCCTAAACCTCCGCCCCACTAGTACTCCGCCCCTACCCTCCGCGCCACTCCGATTTGCCATCACGAGCGGTCCCCACACACAAGCCCAACATGCTGCCTCACAAAACCCCCCACATGCCCATCTCCACCTTCCCCTTAATTTATGCTCCCACGCGGACTCAAACCCGGGAAACATAAAGGAAGCATCAAGACGGAAAAAAAGACAGCCAAGAATGAAGCAAAAAAAGAGCGAAGGGCGGATAAACTATTAGCAGGTGATGATGCAGTGGGGTGGGGTGGGCTGGGGCCAAGGTTTGGCTTCCCCTGTCTAGTAGCCCACGGGGCTGGCGGTTAGCGGTTAGCGGTTGAGGATGGGTACGGAGATGAAGGGATTTTGCTCACCCCGGAGATTAAGCAGTATATTGTTGGGGGGAGAGGGTTTCGGCGGTTTGTTTGTGTCTCCTCATCGGAGCATTGTTGCTGTGGATGAAAGTACGACTGCTGTTGTTGCTGCTGCCATTTATGCGATTTCTGGATATTCTTCCACTGTACCGATTGTGCGGCTGCTGCACGCATAACTCAAGCACATTTCTCCTGCTGCTCTTACTATCTGCAACTTCTGCTACTGCTCCTCCCAGGCGACGAGGATGATATCGACGCGCTGCTACTGCGAATGGCTCTGGAGGAGAAGCAGCGCAAGGGCGCGGTGGAGATCGCGGCAGATTGTGACCCGCCGGGGCCCAGGGTCAACGCGTCCTTTGTGCCGTACATTACGCCGGTACGAGTGTACGGCGCGTATGTGAACATGCGTTGCGTATTCGTGTAGATGGATGCATGCATGCATGTCTGCTGCTACATGCCTCCTGCCCCTGTATACATCCCCTTTAGCTCTTGATTGTGTCCCTTACTGCAGCAAGCCCCATGGATATCTATGTGCTTCTGCTTGCACCCGCGCGTTGCTCCGCTTGCAATTTTATTTATTTGTTGGCGTAGGCGCTACTGCTGCTGCTGCTGCTGTTCGGTTGTTCTGTTGTTGCTATTTGTAGTACTGCAAAAATGTTAATATTGTCATGGTGCTTTGCAGCGAGGTTCCTTCATTTTTTTGTTTGGGGGCGAATACGTCGACCTGGGCACTGACAAGGTGCATGTGTATAAGGACCTTTACAGGTGGGTGCTTGGGGAGGAGGGAGGAGGGCGGGGAGGAGGAGGGGCGGGGAGGAGGAGGGGCGGATGGATACCACTCTTTTGACTCCCCCCTTTCCCTGAAAATCTCCGTACTGGTGTTGCACATGCACATGCACATGCAGGTTCGATGTGGACAAACGGCGATGGTCTCGGGTGGATTCCCCCAATGGGCCCCCGCCTCGATCCGCACACCAGGCGGTTATTTTCAAAAACACAATGTTTGTGTTTGGCGGCGAGTTCACGTCGCCAAATCAGGAGCGATTTCACCACTACAAGGCGAGATAAGGGGTGTGGTAGAAGACAGGCCAGGATAAGCGAAGAGACGACGCGCAACGATGCCAGGGGTGGTGCGCGGGGGCTGAAAAGCCTAACTAAGGACTGTCATGTGCACACCTGACTGGTTCGGTTTTTTGCACCCGTAGAGGCGAGAGCCAGGTCACAGTGCACAATCCAAATGCACCGTTACCACGGTTTCATAACAGTTGCAAAAAAGCTGTCATCGTCTCCAATGCCCCGCCACAAAAAAACAGGACCTGTGGCGTCTCGATCTCACGACCTGGGAGTGGGACTGTCTGCCCTCCAAGGGCGGGCCCTCGGCTCGCTCGGGTCACCGAATGGCGCTGCAGCCGCTGAGGAACCGCGTATTGCTATTTGGCGGGTTTTACGACACGGGGCGAGAGGTTAAGTAAGTGTACGGCAGTGTATGGCAGCGTTGTTTGCAAGTACACACATATGCGCGTACGTATATACATACATGCATACATACATACGCGTGCGCATGCTTTAAGATCCAAAAGCTGCATGCATGTAACAAATCCACACACACACACACACACACGCACACGTTAGCGTGAGTTTCTTGAACCCTGCCCGCTTCCCCCCCACGATGGAGAATCGGTTGAATGGCCGGTTGAGCTTTCTAATAGGGCCTTGTGCCTTAGTAGGGGGGGTTTAGGGTATGTACAGGGTTTCCGGTTTTCCGCTGTCATGGTGAACCCTCACGCCAAGAGCCGAATCAGGCCGGGGATGGAGAGGGGAGTCTTGTTGTGTGTTTCAGAGCCTCAGTGAACGCAAACTCGCGTGTTGGAGCCTGGACTCGTGAAAGCGTGCACGCGGGCGGCGCCTCCTCTTCCCCCTCCTCCGGGGGGAGGAGAGCGGAGGAGCTAGCGGACCTGCGGCTCTCGGTTATGCTTAGGAGGGGGGGGCAGAGGCCCCTCTAGCGCCCCTCTACCGTCTGCGGGAGAACCGTCTTCTCCGGGAGAGAGGAGCTTAGGCGATCTTTCCGTTGGGGCAGCAGGCAGCAGCCCCTCTGTGGCCAGTGTCGTCAGGCCCGGTCAGATAAATACTTGTGTAACCTTCACACACACATGCACGACAGTTGTCAGGATACACATACGCATTTACATACGTACAGAACGGCAGGCAGACAGGCGCAGAGTTCTTTTTTTTTGTTGGAGCCGTAAGCCCGTCTGTAGCGATAGTAGTCACCATGAGTCGACTCTAGCCGCGCCCCCCCCCCTTCCAGGTGGTCCATATCGCCCAGGTGATCCGTATCGCCGCGCACTACAGCGACGGCTATTTCTACTCGCTCTGTCGCCATTCTCCCTAAATATCAACACCTCTAAAAAGTTCAGCTATTTCTACTTCAGCACTTTTAACATGCTGAAGTAGAAACTTGTCTTCGATAAACTTCTGCATGTTGTGACTTCCTCTTTTTCAAACCTTATGTATGCATGTATGTATGTATGCATGTATGTATGCATGCATGTATGTATGCATGTATGTATGTATGTATGCATGTATGTATGTATGCATGTATGTATGCATGTATGTTGTTACAGGGTGGTTAACTTCGCCAGCGCCCCCTTTCCCGGGGCAGTCCCTGCTCTCNCCTGCTAGAGGGGCACCCTAATCCGTCACCCCATCCGACTTCAGAGTGTATTCGTTGGGTTCGGCAACTCACCACCAGCATCCAACCAAATCTAGCGGATCAACGGCGCATCAACTTAGTTCCTGGTCAGCTCGCAAGTTGATATTATCACGTCCTACACCGTCCATATGATGGGGGGCCACCTCCCATTTCATCACTCCTCAAACACCCGAGGAGCTGGCAGGCGGATTTGAACCCGGGTCGACTGGGTCGACTGGGAGCAGAAGTCAGGCCTTAACTTCTGCCAGCCGCCTGCCATATGATGTATGTATGCATGCATGTATGTATGTATGTATGTATGTATGTATGTACTTCTCGCTGCGTATGCCAAATACACAGCGGGTACTTGTGTCTTGCACTCCCCATGCTGCTGACCGCGTGGACTGCGAAGTCGCTATGGGCTCTATGAGCGTCGTTAGATGTGCACACATATACATGTAAAATGAAAGAGAGGCAGGCCCGTTACGTCACTTTCATGTGCCGTACCCTGGATGCCGTACTCCTTACAACAGGTACTACAACGACCTCTGGGAGTTGAACCTGGAAACGCTCAAGTGGACGAGTCTGGGTGGCGGTCCGTCCGGCAATGCGGGGGGGGGCGCGGTGTGGCCCTCCCCCCGTAGCGGCTGCGGCATGACGGTGGTGGGCGACACGCTGTGGGTGTTTGGCGGATACTCAAAGGTCGGTTCGGGTCGGGTCGGCATCGAGGGGGGGTCCCTGGGGGTGAAAGCCGGGGAGGGGAAACGGTCGGCAGTAATAACTCCTCTTTAATAACAACCTTGGCGTGGGTGATTCGTAGTGAGGGATAGCGGCAACGATGCGATAAATGGATAATAATATAATATAATATATAATAATAATAATAATAATATATAATATGTTATATATTATATATTATTATATCGATCCGCAGCACCCGGATCCCGGCAGTGTTCAGGAGTTTAGGGTTCAGGAGTTTAGGGACGGAGCCGGAGATCTGATACTGACACAGGACAGAATATAATATAATATAACATGATATAATATAATATAATATATATATCTAATATATATATATAATATAATATAATATATATTATATTATATTATATTATATTATATTATATTATATTATATTATATTATATTATATTATATTATATTATATTATATTATATTATATTATATTATATTATATTATATTATATTATATTATATTATATTATATTATATTATATTATATTATATTATATTATATCATGTTATATTATATCATGTTATATTATATTCTGTCCTGTGTCAGTACCAGATCTCCGGCTCCGTCCCTAAACTCCTGAACACTGCCGGGATCCGGGTGCTGCGGATCGATCACGGGCTGCATCCTCCCAACACCTCTCTCTTTACTGGGTGTTGTCCATGTCCATATGAGCGATCCGCCTCCTCCGCCGTGTCTCTCTCACCTCGTCACTTCCATCCTCTTCCTCCCTACTTTTGATATCGACGTTCAGAGCCCCTTTGCGTATTGGATGGAAAATGCGCCACACCTCTGTCCACAGCGGGTGTGTATTCTACTAAGATACCTTCTTAAAATCTACCTACTAAATATCTACTAAATATCTACGCCCGTTCTTTCCGTAATCGTTCCCTTTGGTCCTCCAGGCAAAGGACGATGAGGATGAGGACTTGGAGCACGGCAAGACCATGGACGACGTATGGGCATGTAATCTTACGTCGTACACGGTCCGTTGGGGTGGTTGGGATGATTTAACGGTTACTGTTGACGGTTACTGGGGGAGGTGGTTGTTGGGAATGGGGGCCAGGGGGTCCCCGGTTGCCGTTGTTAGTTGGCATTTGTAGGGATCGGCTCCGCCTTTCGTCGTCTTCTCGGGCCCCATTCCCCCACTTCATGACCTCCTTCCCCACTCGTCCCGCTTTACACCTTTTAGTGCCTAAACTCTTCCCCCGCCCCTGCCGTACATGCAACCTCGTACACGTGCGCAGTGGGAGCGTGTTAAGAAGATGGGTATGGCCCCAGGTGCCCGAGCGTCCTTTTCCTTGGCGGTCCACACCCACCCCAAGGCGGGGCCGCGTGCTTTTATGTTTGGCGGCGTGACAGACAACGAAGCGAAGGTGTGTGTGGTTGGGGAAGGGGGGAAGCAAGACGTCCTGGCGACAGAGAGAGAAGGCAAACGGCCAACCGTCAACCGTCAAAACCAGTACCAACGGTCAACCACCAACTGCAGGGCGGCGAAGACCTGTCCTCAGAGTTCCGCAACGATTTACTCTCCTTCAATTTTGATAATCGGAGGTGGTACGCCGCAGAGCTCAGACCGCCCGGTAAAGGAAAGGGTGCAGCAGCAGCAGCAGCACCCGGCCCCGCGGCGGCCGCGGACGGCGAGGACGGCGCTGCGGCGGCGGCACCGTCGTCGTCGTCGGCGGCCGCTACTGCCGCCTCCGTCATCTCCCCTGAGGTAGCGGATCGGTTGGCAGCAGCGACGGATAAGAACAGCGCGCTTTACAGAGCGGCCGTGAAGATCCAGGCAAGGTAATTGGGGGGCAAGAAAGCGCGGATTGTACGGCATTCGCCGTACAAAAGTGTAGGGCGTGGAGCGCGGGATGGTTTGTTGCTGTTGGCCGCTCGGACGCGGTGTTGATGATCTGAGATGCGTTGTGGTGACTTTGGTGGGTGAATGCCGGATGGAGCATTCGATGTTTTAAAAGATGCCGATTGTCGCCGTGACCGCCGTGGTACGTGTATGCCCCTGCCGTACTGTGAATCGCTGCCTAGGAGCGGATGCTGGGACTGCAACCACTACCTTCGTACACCCCTCGAACCCCTCATAACATCATGACCCAAAAGTAACAACCCTGAACTACCTTCCAACGGCCGTACGACTGCTCGTACGGCGTGCTGGTTTTCGCAGCTACCGAGGCTATGTGGTCCGTAAGGCCTACCAGCTGTACCGCATCGGCGGCGTGGTTTCGGAGATCCTGTATTCGCCCGCCACGTACGGCTTGGATCTGTCCGTACTAAACATGCCGAAACCCAAGGCCCGCATGTGCTCCTTGGTAGGTTCAGTCGTGCCTGAGGAGGGAGGGAGGGAGGGAGGGAGGGAGAGGGCGTGGGAAGGAGGGAGGAAGCGTTAAACCCCACGACGCGGAGGCGGAGGGCCCTCCAAGCCTCGCCTGCTTCCCACCCTCAACCGCCCCTCTCCCCCCACTCCTGACAGGCGCTGCGTTGCCCTCTTTACCTTGATAGCTCAGTCTTCCCTCGCTGCGGTGCCACGCTCAGAATTTTTTTCCTTTCCCTCCTCTTCTCAACACTAACCCCGTCTTTGCCCGCACCCCCGTGCAGATGACCGTAGTGGGTAGTACGTTGTGGTTGTTGGGGGGGACTGTGGAGGTGAGTGTGTACGGATGTACGGCAGAGCAGTACCGGCAGTAGCTGCATTAAGAGATAGCAATAGCGCTGTAGCAGGTACAAACACAAGGCAATGGACAAGGCAATGGACTCGCTGTCTTTGCCCCAGTTTTGTCCATTTTGTCCGTGAGATCCGAAACCATGTCGTACGCTCAGCGAAGCCGCCTTTCCTATGCAGGTGGGGGCCAAGGAAATTACGCTGGATGACATGTGGTCGTTGGACGTTGTCAAGCTGGACGGTTGGCAGTTGATACGGGAGAATACCGTTGGCGAGGAGCTTCTCAAAAAGGGTGATGGCAGCGACAGCGAGTGGACAGAAGCCAGCGATGGAGATCTGGAAGGTTCTGAAGACGACGACGACGACGAGGAGGAGGAGGAGGACGAGGGGAAGGGGAAGGGGAAACAGAGTGGCGTGAAGAACGCGGTGGGGACGGCGGCGGCTGCGGGGGGAAAATCTACGATAGCAGTAGCGGTCGGGGGAAAGAAATGACAGTTAGGCGACTGGAAGGCTCGGCGGAGGGAGGAATGGAGGGAGGGAGGCACGTAAGACGATACCTGGGCGGTCCTTCAGGTGCTAAGGAGAGCTAAATGCGGTTAGGCAACACCAGGCGGTGAGGAGGGGGGTGAATGCGGGGGAGGTCCTATGTGCAATGCGGTGAGGAGGTGAGGAGATTAGGCCGCGGGCTGACGGGGTTTAGCCACGAGAGGGGTTTGGCCCGCAAGAGACGCGCCGGCGCTGAGACTCGGTTCAGAGCGACGCTGGTATGTGGGTGGGTGTGGTTCCGTCTTAGATGGTGTGAGCTGGCGACGGTAACTCGACCTCCCTTCCAGGTTGCGTGGTAGGATGTATGTGGGAATAGAGACCGGAGGATGTCTGGTTTGTTCGCGTTAACGAATTTAAATTAGGCAGGTTTTCGTTCTCATATATCCCGCCGATGTTGGGTGTAAGTGTTGGGTGCTGCAGTGTTGGATGCGATTTGCAAACGCGAAAACTTTTGAAGTATTGTTTCTGATTAAATCCAAACGTCTGGGACTTTGTCAAGAGCGTTGCAACTTGTAAGCCGCTGTATTCCATCCGAACCCAGGAAATTTGTAGAAAGGTATGCGCTAACGGTTAAGCATATGGATTTGGTTTCGGTCTGTTGAAGCACAATCGATGGCTTGTATGCGGAGCTTTTATGGAGCCAGATTGGACGAGGAGTGACGAGACCTCCTCGACACCACCAAACGAGCAGCTGTCCAAAGCACGGTCATGAAGCTGGCACAGCTGGACGGTGCCTAAGCGCGATGAAAATAAACAGGTGGCAGCTGTGGCGTTCTTTGTGTGCCTTACCCTAACGAAAAGAAGCTTTTTGCAAGCGAAGGGCGCTGCGAGCTGCTGCAAGCCACAGGAAGGAAAATCATATCAACACTCTAATCCTTCAACACAAAATTTTGCAAAATCTGCATAATCAACACAACTCTACACGTTTACGGCAGAAGCACAAACTGAAAAACGAAGTACCACGACAACGTTATGCTCCTCCGTCCGGTCAAACTAGGTCCGCCTTCCCTGGTCTGATACTGATTTGAGAGCGCAACAAACGTAAGCTCCCTTTTTCCGTATAAGCGCATAGTGCGCATAGTGCGCATATAGCAGAGGCAGCTTGGTGCGCCAGCTAGCTGCCAGCTTGAATCGGGTTGGCTCCCGCAAACCCTAAGTCCCAACCGCTATGGGCGCGTCCGTCTGTCGTTGGCCCAGCGGCTATGCTGATGCCTCAACGCCGTTTCCATAATATCTTTTTTATCCTTTTCAGTCCTCTCCCGTTCCAGTTGAATCCAGTGCTCTCAGAAGCCCTCAGACGAAGGGTTGACTCCGTTGCCGCTGAGCTTTTTGACTCTCCAACTGCAAACTTAATCCCGAAAGTAGAATGTTTTTTGTTTTTTCTTGTTTTCTCCCTCTTTCTTCCAGTCCTGGCACTCGGCAGTGGCAACGCACAGCATCCCAAAGGCATCACACATCAGTACGACTTGCCCGCCTTCACCCGCCTTGACGCTTACAGCTGTACAGCCGCAGGCGGCAGGGGCTACTGGCCGTGCTAAGTCCACGTATGCTAAGGTGCAATCCACCACTGCCAATGCCAAGCTGGCGGCCGGCGCGAGGATCACATGCCGTACAGGCAGACGCCGCTACCGCTGCCGCTGCGTCTGCCAGGGACGGTATTGCTTTTGGCGGCGGTTTCGGTGCTTGTGTTAGTGGTGGCTGTAGCGGCTTGGAACCCTTAAATTTAACGCCAGACCGTGGATGCCGCTGCAGCAGTTTGCCGTACATTCTGGCGGCGGCGGCCTTTGCGCTACCTTCAGCACACGTGCTATCCTGTCGCTACGCGTTGCCAGTGGCCAGTGATGACGTCAGCTTGGTAACTTCCCACAGGACGTGGGGTCCGCCTTGGTGTCTGGCTTCGCCATGCAGCTGTACAGTGACCCATGGGTCATTGCTGCTGCTGTTGCTGCTGCTGCCGCTGCTGTTGCTGGTGCATCTGCTCGTGGCAGTCACCACTGTTGGCCTCTTCGCCTGCACAGCTGCGGTCTACGCGGTGCTCCTAAACCAAAGTACAGGTGCCGTACCGCGGATATTATGGACGTTACTTCCGCCAGCGGCCACAGCTGAGAAGACCATGGCGGCCGCGGCGGCCGTGGCTATGACTCCGCGGCTGCTCTGCACAGTCCCGGCGGCCGCGGCGTCACCTTCCGGCTCGGCGGCAACCTTCTCCTTGCTCAGGCGGCGCACGTCGTCGCCGTCGTCCTCGTCGTCGCCGTCGTCCTCGTCGTCGCTGTCGTCTTTATCGTCTTCCTGTCGCGGCGGAGGCTTTTCATCCCCCGACATGCTCCATTCTCGTTCCCTCTCATCAAGAGAGATAGCGGATGATGGTGGGTCAAGAGAAGCGTTCTCAGACGACGCCTTTGGTAAGAGTGACGACGGCGATGGTGGCGACGTCGGCAGCGACGACGTCGGCAGCGTTAACAGCGGTAGCAAATACGGCAACGAAGGATGTGAGAGTGGCAGCGGCGGCAGCGGCAGCAGCAGTGACGACGATACAACGGCGCCCAACAGAAGACCCGTCGGAACATCCATGCGACCGATATCGACACCACAGCTGCTGTTGCCGCTAATACCAGCACCCATGAACACGGCTTCGACGCCGTCAGCAACAGCAACCGCAGCAACCGCAGCAACGGTCTCTGCAGCCGCGGCATCAGTTTCGGAGTCCGGGAGATCCCCTATGCCTTCCCTCAGGGTCATCGACCAGATCGTCCTAAAGGCGGAATCAACGGCTACGTCAGCGGCGGCAGCAGCGCCTTCGCGGCCTGAGTCGGAGAGTGATAATGCTATCAGTAGGAGCATCCTCAGCACGGCCACAGGCACCGGCGGCGGCAAGTGGGAAGAGGATCGCTTCCGGCGCGCTTACAGCTCTCCCCTCTACGTCTCCCCAAGGCTCAACAGAGGGTGTTTCGGTGCGGGCTGGAGCTGCTTACAGAAGGTGAGGAAAAAAAGCCGCCCCCAGTTCCATGTACACACACACATATTTACAATGGCATGCATGCACACAGGCCTACACATAGAAGTGTGCCATGCTCGCCATTCTCTCCACATAATTCGTTAGAACATAAATCTGCCGAAGTCACTTACCAAAGAGACCAAAGATGAGGCTTTTGTTGATGTTGTTGATGTTGTTACAGGGTGGTTAAGCTTCACCAGTGGCCTCCTTCCCGAGGCAATTCCCTGCTCTCCCCTGCTAGAGGGGCACCCTAAGCCATTCACCCCATCCGACTTCAGGGTGTACTCTTTGAGTTTGGCAACTCACCACCAGCATCCAACCAAATCTAGCGGATCAACGGCGCGTCACTTTTGTTGTTGTCCAAAAAATCCTCCGAAACCGGAAATGTACGGCAAAAATGGTGAGCAGGAAATGGTTCTGGAGGCAGCTTATCCTGAAGGGGCCCTGCTGGGGCCCCATATCCCGTGTCAGAAGAAGAAGAAGCCGACGCGGCGAGACGATGCAGTCGTCCAGTGGCATGATGTCGTTCTTCGCCTAAAATGTCCTGGGGCGTTGAGATTTTGGTCCAAACTTTTTTTGCGAGGGCCCTTGGCCCAAACTTATTTTGGGAACTAGACGGGATGAACCAAAGTCATCCCCGAAGGGGAAGACCTCTTTTCACACCCCCATTTCTCCATTGGACCCCAACCGGACTTGAGGTTTCTAGCGGGCTTTGCGATGGCGGTGACGAGAAGCGCTCCACCTGCCAAGATGGCCAACCCAGGTACTTCTTCACCACATACCCTCTTGCCCTCCGACCTCTTGCCTCCTACACAGTCTAATTGACCACCACATGCTGGTCAGGTTTCACTCACCCACACGTGGATGAAAACAAAGCTTCTGCAACCACTTCCTGTAGGCTGAGCTTCCCGACACCGACGTGCCGTACGGGCCCACCGTCAGTGGCCTGGCTGCTGCGCTGGCGCTGAGAAGCCCTTCTCGCGCCGCCACCGCCGCCGCTGCCAGTGCGGCGACGCGCGTCGCCGCCGCCGCCGCCGCCGCCGCCACAGCGCCCGGGTACAGAGCTACCACAGCACCCGTTACGGTTGCTGGCAGCGGTGTCGCAGGCGTCAGCAACGGCACCCCGCGGCCACATCGGGTCTAGGAACCGGCTCTCGTCCCTAATCTGCTCTAACACCATGATAAAATGACCATCAGTGACCGCCAATATCTATCTTGTCAGCTTCGCATTCCTTTTTTTCCTCATTACCATCCTTGAGTGTGGTAGCCGGAATGTAGTGCCGGAGCACGCACGCCTCATGCTAGCTGCTGACGCTGACAGGAGGGCTGCAGGTGTGCCGCCGCGATTGACGGTATGCGAACATGGACTGGCTCGCTGCGGCGGAGCTCCATGTTTGTCCTGCCTAGTGTATCCCGACATGCATACATGCATACATACTGCCCATACATACTGAACATGGACTGGCTCGCTGCGGCGGAGCTCCATGTTTGTCCTGCCTAGTGTATCCCGACATGCATACATACATACATACTGCCCATCCCATCAGCACTGGGCACATAAGCAACATTGGGCCAGATCAGTAGTACGGTGGGGGACCACGTGCGAACCCCTGGTGACGATCTGTTTATAGGCAGGCGGCTGGCAGAAGTTAAGGCCTGACTTCTGCTCCCAGTCGATCCAGTCGACCCGGGTTCAAATCCGCCTGCCAGCTCCTCGGGTGTTTGAGGAGTGATGAAATGGGAGGTGGCCCCCCATCATATGGACGGTGTAGGACGTGATAATATCAACTTGCGAGCTGACCAGGAACTAAGTTGATGCGCCGTTGATCCGCTAGATTTGGTTGGATGCTGGTGGTGAGTTGCCGAACCCAACGAATACATTCTGAAGTCGGATGGGGTGACGGATTAGGGTGCCCCTCTAGCAGGGGAGAGCAGGGACTGCCCCGGGAAAGGGGGCCGCTGGCGAAGTTAACCACCCTGTAACAACATACATACAAACAGGACCTGGAGAGTGGACGAGTGGTTTGAAATGTTGGTTTCACTTTTGGGGCCCTCCCGGTAGCCATTGATCTTCTTAGACGGCAGACTAACAGACTGACAGACTGACAGACTGCTGACATACAGGACAGACTCCTGACAGAGACTGATTCCGACCATTTGTTGTGTTCGTGAAGTTGTTGTTGTTGTTGTTGTTGTTGTTGTTGTTGATGGGGTGTTACACTGTGGGCGGCTCGCCCGATAAAGGACGAGCACCGGGGGCCCTGACCGGGCCGAAACACAGTTGTTGTTGTTGTTGTCCATATCTGCTAGCTCCTAGCGATTATGAAGACGACGGAATTGTCCGGGCTGGTTTTGCAAACCCACGGCACAGACAGACACGTACTTTATTTTGACCCCTGTTGAGTTCGTTGTACAATAAAAACTACGTGTTTTTATGTACTGCTGTTGCTGTGCTTTAAAATTTGTTATGTTGCAATACATTGGATGCATGCATGTGCTTGTTACATGCACATATACCACAGATGCAGGCAAGGCCCTGCTGGCGTCTTCGCGACGACATGAAGATGGCTCTTCATATGAGCTCTATCTTCATTCGATGTACAGATGTACGGATGTACGGCGACGCAAGTGGATGGTGGGCTTGAGCAGGAAGAGTCTAGACAGAGTCAGCTGCGGCTCGAGGGCGGCAAAACACAAGCATGATCTGGATATTAATTGTATCGTTGCCACCACGTTATCGTTGTTATCATCGTTGCTCAATGTCACGTTGTACAAGGATTGAATGAATGACACCACGATCCCTTTATGTTGTTGTTACCGTTGTCGTTGCTACCGTTGTTACCGTTGTCATTGTCGTGTCCCGTGTGTCGCTGTATGTTCTTCCTCGTCACATCAATAGTAGTACTTGTTCCTGGACGGTTTTTTTTATGAAGTTGTTTATTGTATTGTTATCGTGGTTGAGTTATGTATCGTGGTAGAGTTATGCGGCGGGGGCACCTGTTGGTGTTGATGACAATGGGCACCCCTGGCAGCCCCCTGGCTGCCGGGGGGGGTCCTAATCCTGTAATCCCAACCGGGGGGATGGGTACCGGTCAGCAATCCTCTAATCTCAACAGGGGTAGACCACTAGCACTCCTAATTCCCATCCCGGAGTGGTTGTCTCATCCACATTCTAGGGGCGGTTGGTTGTAATCCGTTCATATCCCGTTCCAGTATCCCAAATCTAATCCTGCCCAGCGAGGACCCAATCCTAATCCTACACTCGGGGTCCTCATCCTAAACCTGCCCAGTGGGGGCCTAATCCTAATCCTGGGTCCGGACCGCAACCCCAATCCTACACTCGTCCGAAACCTGACATCAACTTTGTATCCTAATCCTGTCCCCTCTCGCCGCATCCTAATTTCTGCCTGACCGGTAGCCGAACCCAACCCCTAACCTTTGCAGCCCTCTGTTGACGAGGTGTGCATTCGGGGTAGCTGGCTAGGTGGCTAGCTATATATAGCTAGCTAGGTGTCAGCGTCAGGCTAGGCGGCAGGCAGGCGCCTGGCAGGCAGGCAGGCAGGTAGGACCGATGAGGAAGGGAAAGAGGTATGTAGGGCAGGGCAGCTATAGCCAGCAGCGGAGCGAGATGCGAACCAAATCTGTAGCGGAAGGCAATATGCTGTTGGAAGCGGGGGTGCACATATGGCATCCGGTGTGTTCGGGCGTGTGCGATGATAGGAGCTCCTGCCGGACATGTAGCAGCAGCTAGGGCAGCACGAGGGGGGGGGCGACGGCTCGATTGGTCTGCTTGCTAGGAATGTGGAGGCGGGCGCTAGGTAGACATTTGCTGCATAGGCAGGCGCTAGCTTAGCATGTATCTGCGGCGAACTGGAGTACGAGAATATTCTACTCCTACGACAATGAAAGCCGTACAAGAAACGCTTAAGAATGCTTAAAATGTTGGTGTGTTCGAGCTTGCTGTATTTAGGTTATATTAGGGGTGGGCGATGCGTGGGTGCGAGATAACGAGTTGAGTGATTGCCCATGAGTGATAGCTTGGTCTTTGGTGCTATGCTGTGTACGTATGTACGTATGTACGGCATGCCTTCTCGCGTTCCTTTGCACCTGTAGTAGCTGGCCCCGCTGAAAAGGCCTCTCGAGATGCTGGCGGTCGAGCGCTTGGCGCGTATTTGTATAGCCGTACTGTGTACCAGCTACTTCAGCTGCATTCTCGGGTCACAGTGCACCCTAAGTCTTACAATAGCGTCTTCAGAGACTCTGCTTTATCTGCTATCAACAAAAAGGGCAATTTTCTTATCACTGCATAAGCCAGCATACATCATACATACCATGTATGTGCCCAAAAGCGGTATTGTCGTCCCTGACATAAGCGTAGGCACACACATATACACAAACATACATATACGTGCACACACACACACACACGCCCCTCTACCGTCCGCGGGAGAGAGGAGCTTAGGCGGTCTTTCCGTTGGGGCTGGGCAGCAGCCCCTCGGTGGCCAGTGTCGTCAGGCCTGGTCAGATAGATACTTGTAACCTTCACACACACGTACGTATGTATGTATGTCGACGCAATCGACCGGGGTTCTTACGCACGAGAAGGTCATCATCACCGACGCACGCACAACCCATGCGACGAAAACGACAACAGCAGCAACAGACAACAACAGCAGCAGCAGACAATAACAGCAGCGCCCCTTTCCAGGCCCCAGCAATGTATGCACGGTCCGGCCAGGGACCGATACGTTTGCGAGTATCAAAATCAAATCGGGATGGCATGTAATACGATTGAGTTGACGGTGGCGCTTTGTGCTCCCTGACCGACACGCACGCCAACGTGGCGATAATGCGGTGTGCATGCGGACAGGCGGACAGGGATAATTATATCCAACCAATTTATCTGTCTGCCAATCTGTCTGCTGTCTGCCTGCCTGTCTGCCTGCCTGCCTGTCTGTCTGCCAATCTGTCTGCTGTCTGCCTGTCTGTCTGTCTGTCTGTCTATGAGCCCCAGAATGCAACCCTGCTGCTAAGTATGACGGTGCATTGCGTTGCGTTGCGTTGTGTTGAGATTTTGCTTCCATGTCCGCATTCACCGTCCTTTCCACTCGCCCTACACACAACCACAACGACATCGACACCGATTCAACCACCGACTGCGCTGATCAGCGGTCACTTGTTGTCTTGCTTTGCTTGGGGCCAGAACAAACCAACCGCCCAGTGAAGCCGCCGCTAAGAGGTACAACACGTGTGTCTCGACAATTATTGCTCGTACGTATTGCTCCGCCGCACAACCCGGCGAGGTGCAGAGCAGTCAGGATGCGGCGGCTCGGGTCGGGTCGGGCACAGGATACAGATGGGAAAGAGTAGGATAGAAATGTGGAATTCCCCCCCCCGGGATAAGGAGGATGGAAGACAATAGGGCCCAGGATGGCGGCATATTGGCGGCGGGTTCACGCCAACCCACCAAGGATGAGGATGGCAGAATGGGGGAATGCAGTCGCCAGGATGTTCGGCTTGAGGTTACGAAAAGGCTATGTGTGAGGGGATGGATGTATCCAACCGACAGGATGCGCTTCGCCCGGCCCCCAACCTCCCCCAGGGTGCGAGGATGGCACACCGCTCCGCAACCCTCCTCGCAGCCGCACGTACGAAATCACGAATTTACGATATTGGATTGATATTTTTGGTTGGTGTCATGAAATGCAGCAAGACTATGTTTACTCAATACTGGGAATACTGGGAAGCCAATGGGGTATACATGTGTCGGTCCTCGTAACGCCCCTTTTTGCAAGGATGCGCTTCACCCATCGTAGACAGAGACAGGATGTAATCTTAGGAGAGACAGCTAGACAGCGACTAGCAACAGGCTGCCCCGGCGTGCTAGCCAACAAAAGTAATAAGGACTTCGTGCGTACGCGCAAAAGGTCGCGCAAGATCTCGCGCGTCTAATCCAGTGTACGTACGCTTCCAGCAGCAGCAGCAGCCTACGACTGCGGGCGTCGTCTAGGCACATCACCAGCGGCAATAAGCGCCTATTTAAATATATACTCTACTGTACAAGGCGCACAAGCATGTCGTCGCTGCAGCAGTAAGCGGTCGCATCATCTCATCACACATGCACATACATACGCTATTCATCACGCACGTCATGCACGCACGCACGTGCATACATACATACGCCATTTGCTGGACATACAGCCAGACAGCCAGCCAATGTCACGCATTCACCACGACCACCAACCACCATTCAGCTACCCACCCACCTACCGCCATTGGGCATCATCCCGCAGCTAATCTCCCTCCCCTAGAGGGTATTGCAGCCTCGCTCAGGCATGCGATTTTTTCCTCCAATAATGCCGCTAATACCGACCTTCGATAAGTTACTCGCTGGCCAGCAGTTAGGCCATGTCCGCCTTTGTATAAATAGGTTGCAATTTGCTCCCTATGAAGTTGATTAGGTTTGGTAGGTGAGATAATAAATCGCCCGACCGCCATATATAATTTCGAACCGCTTCGTCACCGGCAGAATCCAGAACCAAGTTTGAACCGCAGCGCGCCGCCCCGCCGCCGATACAGATCCCAGGTTATGAAGGCACGCAACAAAATACAAGCAGTCAGTAAAATATTAATAATGGTACACATAGCTACCATGTTACACGTCCGTATATAGCTGCTGGTGTTTTTTTTGCGTATGAGATTGAAGCTTAAATGACAAAGTTTTACTTTTTCCCGCGCTGCTGCTGCTGCTGTTTAATCCATAGGCCATGCGCGCGCAGTTGCGTTTTGTGTCCCTCATCCGACAAAAATCCTATCCGTTCTGATTGTGGTGATACCACTCACCATCGTTCGCCATCCACGGCCATTAAAGCATGGCGCTGTAAATGTATGTTTGCGTCGCCGATAGTGCATTTGCGGCTAAGTAATATATAAGCTCGTCCCTTGGTAACGCTGCCCCGCGCAATGAGTGAGCGAGTCGAACAATCAAGTCGATCCAAGCAGTATGTTGATGATTAGGTATTTGAAAGTACGTGGCCCTTCGTTGCGCGATCGCGATCGCGAACGCCAAGCCGCCGTGCACCTCCACCGCCAACTACTTTCAATTATACCTAATAATTATAAATCAAGTGAATCCGTCCAACCTTTGACTGACATAGCACTGTTTTTTTTAAGTTTATCCGAAAATTTCGATATCTTCGGCCGCATCGCACTGGCATAAACACCTAGAGCAATCTCGCAAATTATAAAACCTACGTCTCTGTCTCTGTCCCACCCTCCGGCCAGCTCCATAAGCTCCATAAGGACACAAACCATACATGCTACGTTATACAATAACACACCTCACCATCACCGGCCTCGCCTTGGGGAGCCTCGCTCTCCTTGCTTCTCGCTTCTAGCGTTCACAGACTCACTGCTGCGTAGAAGGGCAGTCCGTTCCCAGAAGAACGCCTAATCGCCTAACCTTCCTCGCGCGGCCGAGCGTCAATCGCTCTTCATAACGCAAGTTTGGAAATATCCCTCTCCTCGCTCGTCCTGTACGACAGGACACGCGCCTCTAGTATATAAGGCCACGTACGGCCCGCATTGTTTTTAACTCGCTCCTCACACACTTCGGAGGTATATGACGAAATCACTGATCACTCTCCAACACGTCGTAACCCTAAAAAGCAAAGCAAATACAAATGCCTTTTCTTCATCAGACTCCGCGCGCAGTTAATTGTCTTGCTGCTTACAGCTTGCCACACGGGCGACTGCTGCTGCATTTCCACGACCTCTGGGCTTTGGGCGGCCCATGCCAGCCTATTAGCAGTGAGGGTCCTTTGCGGGCCTTTCCTCTCCTCGCTCATTCTATCTACGATATATTATAACAATGCTTGTGTGCTGCCAGCACAGATGATCTGCTGCTGTCACAATTTTACTCCGAAAATTTATTGTTAGTACTTGATATTATATTATCAATACTCCGATAATTCATATTATTATTATTATTATTATTATTATTATTATATTAATAAGAAGCAATAGCGTATGGATTCCAGTTAAGCCAACTCATTTGTCCATGTGAGCATCTATACAGGAACCAAGGCATAGATGTTGATCAGTCGCCAGTTGGCTCTAATATTGACTGCCATGACGGTCCGGATGGTCCGGAGGTGGTGAGCGGAGTCCCCCGTCGGCAGATACACTATGACCCGAGAAAATCCGAATCCCTGAAAAATGAAACCATAAAACCTAGGAAGCTTGAGCCCCAGCATCATGAAAAATAAAGCTACCCCCGACTCGTATCGAATTCAGGACAGAGCTCAAGCACCGGCGTGGAGTACGTGTGGGCGTGGTTGGTATCAAGTGAAATAAGTGAAATTAGATGAAGACACCGAAAATGAAGGTCATTTTGTCAGATGGAAAGTGTATGGGAGGGCGTGTCGACAGCTCAGCAATTAGCAGTTCAAACGCGGATGTACGCCAACTCACAACTCACGCAGTTGCGACCCGTGGGTCCGTTGCAGACCGTGACATTTGTTTTTCTTCGCCTGCGTTTCATCTTGTCTCTCCCTATGCGCTTTTTCTTTCTTCCGCGCCGAATTTTAATCCCCCTCCTTTTCTCTTCCCCCCCCCTCTCTCTCTCTCTCTCTCTCTCTCTCTCTCTCTCTCTTTCTTTTCTCGCTTCACCGCTTGCCGAACCCTCTTCCTTTCCGACATTCCTACATTCCCCCTCTCCTCGCTAATTTTCCCCTCTCTCCGCCCTGCGAGCTCTTCATCCATATAACCATCTCCCCATAACATAAAACAATTCAAAGAATTTCGACCGTTGACAATGCTGATGTTTTTTTCGCTCATTCGTTTTCCGCCACACGCCTCTATGCGCCACAGACTTACATGCAGGCGAACGGAATGAATCTTTGTCGCAAATTTATATCATCTTTAAGGCCCCATAACCTGACGTACATTCGAACGCCCACAGCCCGAACAAGTAAGGTGCACTTGCGACCCTTAACTTATATCTAATATTTAATAAGGCCCCCTTAGACCCTGTAAACCCCGAAAGACCCTCTCCGGGAAATGCCTCTTGCCCTGGGGCGAACAAGCCCCCGCCTATTTGTCATCAAGACGCGCGCTGCCTGCTCCTTGCCGCCGCTGCAGCGGCAGCCGACGCAGCAGCGGTGCTGGGCTTCTACGCTGGTAGAGTGTACGAGGGCCGCGCTTTTTAATCCGCCTTGTGGCGAGCTTAAGGATACACGTTTCTTACTTTTGTCCTATTTGTGCAGCACATGTGTCTTATGCGCATCCGTTTTCATTCACGTGCCGCATTACCAGCTCTTCCCAGGGACGGCCCCGGACGTGCAGCAGTGGTCCCCGCGGCCGCCGCCGCAGTGGTGGCGGCGGTGGTGGCGGCGGCGGTGGTGGCGGCGGCGGTGGTGGCGGCGGTGGTGGTGGCGGCGGTGGTGGCGGCGGTGGTGGCGGCGACCGTCGTGGTTTGGTGGTATCGTCCTGGCTGCTGCTGCTGTTGCTGCTGCTGCTGTTGCTGCTGTTGCTGCTGCTGTTGCTGCTGTCGCTGCAGTTGCTGATGCTGTTGCTGTCGCTGCTGTTGCTGCTGCTGGTAATGTGCGCTATTGGCTTGCAAGAGCTCTAATTGCGCCTTCACCGCCGTTACCACATCCGCAGCGGAAGGACGTCGATGTGGATCCGCCACCCAACACGCCTGCGCCAGTTTCCTGCAAGTTTGTACGGCATTGTGGTTTCGGAGAGCGGCGTGATTCGCGGCGGTGTCCAGTCCGCTAGTGAGAGGGGAAAACCCGCTCAAGCTGCACCTCCCAGGATTTCTCCATGTCCATGTCGGTCCGCAGGGGCATATCCATCTGCCCAAGAGCGGCCCTGTGCTAGCCACCACACCACACGGCACTTGCCCTGGTGCGAACTAGCTTTTGATCGCCGGCGTGGGCCCAACCCCCTTCCATGCGGGTGCCCGCTTGCTTCTTGCTTTGTTGTTACACACGCACACGCACACGCACACACATACACACGCACACACGCACGCACACGCACACACTCACGAAAATCCCATGCCAAATAAATTGCGTACACCACTTTACCAATAACCGACACATCAATATGGCATGGTCTCCCCGTGGTGTCTAACGGACATTGGTTTGCAAAGTGCAACCAGTTTGATCTCTCTGGGGCAGTTGGAATGCCCATTACCGTACCTATACGACGAGGGCACCCAGTCGGGGAATATGGGCCGGCAGCCGGCCAAAACCGCGGATGGAATTTGGTCTGGTTGCAGATCCTTGTACGGTCGATATCCTCGTCCTGTAAGGCACGCAACATCGTAAGAGTTAGGGCCGTTTAGGGGCGTTCGCAATTTGAGAGCAGTTAAGATATTCTGGCAGAGTAGTATTCGGCGCGAAAATGTGTGTCCTACTCCCGGCCCATTTATCTTTGTTACATCACCGCTCAGCCAAGCTCCAAGGCCGCCTTTCAGCCCAAATTAGCGGTTACCGGTGATGGAACACAACGTTCCAAGTTGAGTCGTAAATTTTACCTTTAAATGAAAATATTATGCACGTGAAAGAAATTTTGCTTAATCAGATTCTACTTTCCTCTACGAAATCCTACTGTCTATTTTTGCCAGATGGCATTACACACTTTGACCGTTGTATTTGTCAATCTCACTCTTTTTGCTCATTCTCTGTAACATTCATTGCTCACCTACAACGATGTCCCACATCAGAATACCAAGCGCGTAGATGTCCACAGAAGCATCGATGCGCGAGTCTGCGTATGATGGCAGCATGGTCCGTAACTGGCGCTAGTGATGGTGGTCGCAAGCGAACCTTATGACTGCTAGGCCACTCTGTCATCAGTTCACATTTGTTACTAACAAACGTGGATGAGGAGCCACATCCTGCTGGAACTCGTGGATGGGTCGTCTGTCCATGTCAGGTCCCCTCCCCAGCCATTAGCTCATCTTAGAGCTTATACTTAACACTAATGCCTGAATGCCTGATCATAGCCACCAACGAGCCTCTTTCCCACCGTCGCCTCTCCTCCCTTCGGGAAGCGTCTCAAGGAGGGAGAGTGGCGACGACCTCTTATCTCATCTCCCCCCCCACACACACATTGGGGACATTTCCTGTTCCGTGAATAAAACCTGTGTCCCATAGCTTATATCCTATTTAGGCCCCCCTGCTGGTTGATCGCTCACCGGGACGCATCGCCTCCGGCGCCATGTGCGTCACCCTGAAGGACGAGTTATATGAATGACCCATGGGTCACATAGTCCGACGGACAATCCAGGGTTTTTTTGGTCGACGAACACGCACAGCGATGACGAAGGCAGGCGGCGGCGACGGACGGCGGCGAATTGACGAGTGCGGACGTGTGTAATTAGACAGACATATATAGATATGTGAAAAGATGCCTCGTACGTCTTTGTGTGCGTATGCTTGTATGTATGTGCGTATGTGCTGACGTTCATGGGCTTTAAGGGCACAGGAAAACGCGGCAGCGGGTAGCGGGGCGCAGGCAGGTGCGTACCCGGAAGGAAGATTGTGAAGATATCGCAGTACACAAAATAAACAATATCATAATATAATATATAACTTATATATATCATATATTTATAATATATATTATAATATGAGTTATAATTTCATGACATTCACGATGACAGTTTTGTTGTTATACACCGGTGCAATAAAACCTTGCAGAGCACTCGCACATGCTCCAGCACAAACCCCCGAAAGTGAGCACCCCACGTACGTTCCGCATGCTTGTTCCTGGATGGTGTAGAATGCGGCCCATCCGGGGGGTCCGCTGCCGATGCTGCTGCTGCTATTGCTAACGCCGCCTCCGCCTCCGCCTAGGCCGCCTCCGCCCCCCACAAGGGTGTACGCCCCGGCGGCTGCCAGACTCGCTCTGGTGCGTGAGCCGCTATTCGCATTGTAGTTGTTGTAACTTCCCGTGTTGATGTTGTTGTTGTCGTTGTTGTGGTGGTGGTGCTGGTGGTGGTCCGGTAGTGGCGCATCCTGAAGATAAACATTTCGAAAACGTATCAAATAAAAGTTTTCATTTTTTAAAGTTGAGGGTGATGGGCCGTTAAGACGCTATTAGAGGCATCCTCGCATGCCTCATATGACATGATAAGTTACGGCACCACGGTTTGGAGTTTGTCGTACAAGCCGGTATGGGATGTGACTGATAGCGAGTGTTGTTTCGTGTACACGTCGATCAACTCATCGTGTTCGATCAAATGCGTTGCAGCAGCCACCTGCTCACCGCACCCCCGCCCACTGTAACCACCACACACACGCATCCGCCAGACCGACCTTGAATCGCCCGCAGCTCCCGCCGCTTCCCGCCCCACACATTCAATCCTCCCCTAGCACCCTCCTCCGAATCTTAACCCCAGAAATGCATCGTCGTGACCAGGTCCTGTCGATTCCACCCGTCAAGTGTACGACTTCCCCGGGACGTGTTTGCATCAGCATCTGACCTGTCGGTCCAGCAACAACGCGAACCCGAAATCCGCCAGCTTGCTGATCCAGCCACGGGGGTCACCCGGGCTATGCTTGAGGAGTATGTTGGCGGGTTTCAGGTCTGTGTACGGGCAGGTTGCGGCAGGTTGCGACAGCGGAATCAATGCATGTGCATGCGCGAGCTCGCACCCACACGTGTGTGCATGTGTGTATGTATGTATGTATGTGTGTGTTAGGCGGTGAGTAGAACGACGGGGGGGCCCAGGGAGAAAGGGTCCCGCAGTGAAATCATGTTAAAATTGGAAAAATACAGAGTAGATTAGCATGGCCCCTGCGCAAGGATGACACTCACAAATCGAGAAATGGTTCCAAACTTTTTGGTCTGGTCTGGTGGCGCCTTCGTGTATATGAAGGTTCCGGGTTCGATTCCTGGTCAGACCCCCGACATTGTTCGGGAGGTCTAGGTTTACTAACGCTGCTGAGGTGTGGAGATGAGGTCTAGTTGATGGACTAAGTTTCGCATGCTGAGATGGTGGTGGTGGCTGATCTGTCTCTACGGATGTTGGGTGACTGGATGAGGAGGGGTCTAGTTGGCAGGACCCAAACCGCCGTCGGTCGTACGGTGTAATCAACTTTCAATACATATAGTCCATGGCCTCCCGGCTTTGACGGACACCCCCGCACTCGTGCGGCACTTGTAACTTGTAACATTGGGTCTCCCTCGAGCTTGACTCCAGTACGTCAAGCAGTGCCGTACATCCCTCATTCCCCTAAACAAATGAACATCCGCAAGCAGTACCGAAGACTTAGGAAAAAAATTTAAAACCCCTCATCAGGCTCTCCCTCGCAACGTCAGGTTGCTCGCAACGAGCTCCGCAACCAATGAGCAAACGGTTAACGGCCACAAATTGGTCAAACCACTGCGCGTATAATATATATATATATATATTATATATTATATATTTATATTATATATATTATATATATTTATATTATATATATATTATATATATAATATATATATAAATGAATAATATAAATAATAAAATAAAAATAATAAATAAATAAATAAATAAAGGCAAAGAGAAATCAAGAAAATACAATCCAGGCACCCGCATACCCTCTCTCGCATAGTCTCCCTCTCTTCACACGCCACGCCATATTAACACAGCCAGACAGCCAATCAGCCACACACGCACCCACCCCCACACCCACCCACACGGACGCACCGCGGTGTACCAGGCGACGTGAGTGTAAATGGCGGAGCGCCAATGCAATCTCGAGTACGGTGAGGTACACTCCCTGTACGACGCGCAGTACGGCAGGCGGGACACGCAGGAAATTTAGACCCCGCCACGGTACTCGATGCACACCGTCACGTCGCAGCGCGTACCTTACCTGGCTGCAAGGCCGACCAGATCACATCATGCATGCATCAGTGCATGAGCGGAAACACACAAAATAATACTGTACGGGCACGGCACTCACTTTCAGGTCGATTCTGTACCGATTCCTTTCTCCGCCGCTGCTGCAGTCCGCGCCACCGCCGCCACCGCCACCGCCGCCGCCGCCGCCACCGCCGCCCCGACTAAGCGTTTGCGACGCCGACATCCCCACAACCGCCATCCGCGGAAACGACCTGTCCGCCAGCACCGCCTGCAACGAGCTGTCGCACAGCTCCGTCACGATCACAGTACAGAGTGGCGAACCTACGCACCGACGGGATGGCAGGGGGAAAACGCTTCGGTATTGGTGCAGTACAATCTCATATTCAGATTCGTCGGAGGCATTCGAACATGTGCTTAGTTCCTTTTCAGGATATCAAGTTCAGCGTACCTCCTGTATTTTACTGTGTAAAGAGTTTTTTGTTAATCTCGCTCGGCCTCTATGTGATGTCATTGTGCAGTGGAGAGGAGCAGAGGAAAGGGCCGCTGCGTGCTCACATACAGATGCAGACAGACACACACACACACACACAGACATACACACAAACATACAGACACACACACACGCAAGCACACACGCACACAGACACACACACACACGCACACACACGCACACAGACACACACAGACACACACACGCACACACACGCACACACACGCACACACACACACACGCACACACACAATCACAATCACACAATCACACAATCACACACACAATCACACACACACACAGACTCACGCACACCCACTCACGCACACGCACACACACACACGCACACGCACACACACGCACATATACACACGCGGCAGCTTACGTGTGTGCTTCCAACATTCCCAGTGCCGTACCTGATGTGCGGGTCGTTGGCACGTCGGCTCCGTTAGCCCTCCGAAGCACACAGCCCCGGGTGCCGCCGGGGCCGGGCAAATGCTCCAAAAGCACGTTATCAAAAATTCCAAGGCACTGCGAGGCCGGGAATGTCGAAACATGAGGCTGTACGGCGTAAGTGTATGATGTACGGCGTAGGTGTACGGCATGACATCGCTCAGCAGTGGTGAGCTGTGCTGGGGTCGATGGGATCCTTAGCTTGGGTTATGCAGCGCCGTCGCGGCGCCGTCGTTGGTTTGGCGTTGGTGGTGAGTAATTGGAAAAATGTTTGAGAGTGGTTAGATTTGGGGTAATGGGGGATGGCGTGAAGGTCGGGGGTTCAGCTGGGTTTGGGCGTGTGAGTATATGATGTTTTCGGCGGAGGTGACAGGGGTGAGTTTCTATGGTGGTGATGTGCTGGTGGTGATGGTGGCGGTGGTTTATGCAAAGACGAACGGCCTCTCAAACCCAAGACACCGAGCAGCACTTTAACACCCCCCCTCCGCCCCTGCGCCTTGAATAAACAAAGCTCGGCGCCCACCTGTATAATGTTCACGTGTGTCGTACTTTTCAGTACGGCCAGTTCCATGGCATTGCGGTACATGCTGTGCCGTGCACTCATGTGTTCCTTTGAGGTCTTGGGGGCAGGACCGGCGCCTTCAACCTTTGCATTGTCGTCACTGCTGCTGCCTTCCTTGTCGTCTTGCTCGTCCACATGCGGGATCTCCATGAGCTTAGCCGCCACGGGCACGGTGCCCATCTTGCCGCGCAGTACGACACCGCTGGCACCCTTTAGTGGCGCGGGAGACCGACGGGTTATGGATTTTAACGTTGGAAGGCTTTTAACGTAATCACATGACATGCCATTCAGTCACGGATTGAGCGCCGGGACGCGGGAATGCAGCCCTGAAAGTCTATCACACGTTTAGATCTGAGTTCTGGATCTGGCTTGGACCTGGATCTTGATCAGATCTAGGCCAATTTGTCTCCATATTGAGGGGGAAGCTCAAATAAAGGGAACAACAAGCAGGTCGGGCACAACTGTCGTACAGGGCATGTCGTACATTGGCAGTAAACATTGCAGCCTCTCCGATAAGGCAAGAAATTCAAAGGCAGGCGGCAGCAGCACGAGCAGCAACAGATTGGATTAGCAACCAGCCTTACCTCGCCAAGAATGTCGTACAGTTGGATCTCGTCTAGATCCTCCGTGTTGCCCACGGAAGGCCCAAAGCTCCGAAACGTACCCCTGCAGAGGCTCCATTTGCATGAGTTTGGAAGAGCTCTTTTCCTGAATTGTCCTGGACGGACCTCGATCAATTCTTCCACGCATGAAATTCCCGGATTGGATCCTGAATAGGATCTGACTGAGCACGAAACGGACTAAGTTGAACGCGACTGGATCTTGGATTGGATCTTGCCTGCAGACTGGACGAGGCGTTCGTGAGCGCGCCAATCAAACCTACCGGGTGTGACTGCCGCCCGTTGTCAGGGAGTGGGACGCGTCAAGCGACGCGGCAGAGGTAGTGGCGGCTGCGGTGCTGCGAATGGTGCCGAGCAGCGACTCCACCAACAGACCGAAATGGGCTCATGTTGCATGACCCGTCGGCCTGCCGAGCGAGCGTTTTAATTAATCAGTAAATATTGGGGCGATAAATAATTGTCCACGCGGGATAAAAAAGCTAAAATTTAGGATAGCCATGCGTGTATGGGATAAGTATTGCTTGTGCACCTTAGTACCGGGCATCGATACCCCACGAAACATGCTCGGGCGGGACAATCTTATTAATAAAGCTCCACTGATAATAAGTTGACATAGCCATTAGTTGGGGCCTATTATTATTTTACTTATTACCACCACTGCCAGCACCACCACGTCAGAATCGGTTTCCACCCCACTCACCTCCTGTACCTTCAGCACCGATGCCGCCGGCATGCCCCCTGGCCCGCCCCCGCAGCCATAATCCACCGCCGTGTTCAGCAAATCGCAGGACAATGCGGGATCCATGATCTGTACGGATTCGGGCCCCATTATGCCGCCTGCGTGGCTCGTCATTACCTGTACGACAGTAGCGGGACCGCTCATGGCGGATGCCGCATTGGAATGGTTGTATTGGCAGAAATTACGCCCACCGCGTATGGAGGCCGACCCAAAGGTTAGTCCGTTCCC